GTATTGGTCTTCCTGTAGGAACAGAAGCCTTGAAAAATCCGTCTTTAATGGTCACCAGGAGATGTGAGTTTCACATTGAAATCAGAGAGTTTTTAGTTGGACTACTTCCGAAAAGATGTTATTTATGAGGTATTATATTACCTGGAGCCTGGCTTTCTAGTATTTAATGAAAGTCATTTTATTTCAGAGGAATGATAAAAATGCATTTCTCATTAAAGGTGCAGTGTGGCAACATGCTGTTATTTGGGGATTTTACTGACCTTTTTTTTTTTTGTGTGTGTCAGGGTTCCTTATTCAGTACAGCAAAATATATGCATGGAAAGTAAAACAGTCATCTGGATACTTTGTGTGTCTAGTGCCAAACATCTGGATATTTGGAAACATCTGGAAAAGTGATTGAAGTTTTCACAAGGGTGTTTAGCATTATGTAGATGAAACCTCCAGCTTATAATCAGATGTCTACCAGCCCAAGATTGATAGAAATGTTTTATTAACTTCTGAGAAGGAGGGCTGCATGGACCCTGAGATACAGTTAGTTGTTTGGCTTTTGTTAGTTTTTTCTTTCAGTGGAATGCGATAAGGTGGCTCAGTTTGAGAATACTTCAATTTGATCAATGTTTCTGCTTTTAAATCCCAAGGAAATATAGCAATCAGCAGCAGGCCCAGGTGATCTGCTTCTGTCACAGCAGCCATTTGGTGTCAATGTGTGAAATCTCTAGTCACCTTGGGGGGAAAAATCTAATAGATAACAACAACCACAGAACACCCCAGAAAAGTAGTTTTTTTTAGGCCATCTTAATGTCAAGTAACGTCCAAGCTGTTGGTCTTGCAATAAAAAGTTAAAGATGCTTTTCATGTAGGACTAACTATGAATTAACTGTTTACTTCATGTGACCTTGCAAAGGAAACAGAACATATGTTCTGTAGCAGGCCAGTCAGTCATCATAGCCTGTGCCTTTAAAAAAGTGCCTTCCTGCAGCAAACCTTGTGAATCACAGAGGCCTATTGTGAGAAGAGAAAAAGAAGGCATTAAGGCAGGCGCCAGGCAAGAAGGAAGCACTTTAGCAAGGGGCCTTTAATTTTTATATAACTAACCCATATTTTATAGCTACCTCATAAGAGCAGGCCTCCGTCCTGCTGCAGATTTTGTGTGATGGCCTGGGACCTGTTGCTGGGGGAAGCCAGAGACAGTCCCTGACCTTGAAGGGGGTTGGAGAGGTAGCTGAAGGCAGGCAGTCTTAATTTCAACATCTGGTTAGCAAGATAATACTCTTTACTACAAAGCTTTTGTGAAAACCTCTTTTTTCTTCCTAGAAGCCTTTAGGGAAATCATCTCCTAACCTCTGCTCACCCTTAGAGATGCTTTAAATTGCTGCCCGGATTTATGCAAATGGTTTGGGACTCTGTTCAGAAATGTCTTTTGCAGATGTTGGAGAACAGAGTTGAGCTATTTTTTGGCAAGAGTTATGCTTTTGCTTCAGTTCTCCTTGAAGTGGAAATGTATCTTGCTTGTCCTGGGTGTGGCCTATATTTTCTGGGCAGGGCAGAATTTATCCACTAAGAAAACTGAGTCAGCCAGATGCTTTGAGATAGTGCCCTGGCCCTTGTGCTTGGTACACAGGGCCTGCGGAACTGAGTGCATCTGTAAATTAGGTTTGTGAAACACTTCCAAACCATTCAGTGTGGGAATATCATGTTAAATTGCCATGCCTAGATTATAATTTCAAAGCTCAAGGTGTTGAGTGAGAGAGTGTTCTCAAACTTTTATTAACCATGAAAGCCTTCAATGAAACTTTTATTTTCAAAAGAACCTATGGCGCAACTCAACATAATAAAACAGAGTCAGATAAATGGAGACAGAAGTCCCAAGAACCTTACTTATTTGTGGTTTTTCTTTCCCTGCCAAGCCCCCTGCCATTGGAGCCCCCACAATGTTCCTCTGTCACCTTATGGCTTTTTAAAAACAGAAACTGAAAGCCAACGATGTAATCTAAAGCTGTTGAAGTAAGAGTTGTGAAACGCTGAAGTTCAGGGAAGTTTGCGGCAGAGCAGTGCAGAGCTGTCTGCTGTAACCCAGGACTTACAGTCCACTCTTGAGTGTTCTGTGCCGTCCCATTTTAGCCCTCATAGCCCAGCAGCATGGGAGCTCCACGGTGCACAGAGGGCCGCATGTGTTAGGCAGCACCCCAGGGGTGGGTAGGCAACTGCCTGTGTTATAGACTGAGGTCCGGGACCCCAGCCGGAGTGTGCTCATTGTACACAGTGTTAATCAATGTCAGGAAATTTATTCACACAAGACTGATCTATAAATTATTTATAAACAAAGATGCCTCTTTGTTTATAGTAGAGTACATGCTTTGCCAGAACATATACTTTTATTTTTCTGCTAGTTTACTTTGTAGTAGTCCTGGCTGCTCTCAATGCAAGTCTAATTTCTGTGAAATAAACTCCCACCCCCACCCCAGTCTGTCTGCTCAGCCTCTCTTCAGTTCTCTCCTTACTCCACCTACTCCAGGGAATAATAGTGATACAGGAAATCGCTGTTAGAGCTCTTTGGGTTGCAAGAAATACCAATGAATAAAGTCAAGAAATGAAAATTTTCAGTTTCAGTAGTGCAGTTTTTTAACTTGAAGGTTTTCAGGTCATATATTGTCGGTATTTTTTGGCAGATGAAAGTTATGTGCAGCAATATAGGATGTACAATAGCGTATGTGCAAATAAGCTGCTAGTTCTTATATACGTTTTGATGACGCCTGTGAGAGCATCCCCACAGAGGCCAACGTGTTGATTTTGAAAATAACTGAAAAGTCAGTCTTTTTTTTTTTTTAATTTCATCCTCACCAGTTTTCTAAAGTGAGGCGATTTCAAAGGAGAGAAGAGGCACGTTCAGCCTTGATGGCCCTATTTTAACCAAGTGTGTGGGGTGGTCCAGATGTGAGCTGTATGAGCTAAGTTGACTTTCCTTTGATGTGGTACATGACTTTTACCAACCTTCCCTAAACATATCTTCCCATTTCCTGTGGGGTTGTAGTATACACTTGTTTAATGATGGCTAAAATAATATCGAAACAAATGTGAATCTGGTTTGCATGCTTCCTTTCCTTGCGCAGAAATCAAGGGGCCTCTGGAATCCATGCTGTTCCTATGGAGCAATGTCAGAAAACACCACCTTGAATTCATTAATAGAGTTTGGCAACAGAGCAGTCTTAACTTTTACAAAGAGGGGCTTGTCAAGCTGATTGTTGGGGACCCTGCTAGTTTTCACTGTGGAGCAGAGTCCTCGGTAGGATAATTTTCAAAAGTTTTCCTAAAGCTGGTATCTATGTTGGCAGTGTGTCATTTTGTACATTTGGAATCATTTCATTACGTTCATAGCAACTGCAAATTGGAAGATATTTGAGCCCATTGTTTTTGGAGATTAAAGATATTTCTCCATTTCAACACACATGTTCTCAGCACCGATTTGTCTGTTGACAGACTAAAGGATTTCTTAAAAAACATATTTATGACTCTTTTTTTTTTTGTTAAACTTTTTTTTTTTTTTTTTTTTTTTTTTAATTTTTGTGTAGAAGAACTCAGGTATAGGCCAGCAGTATGGGGTGTGAGAGGGTTCACCAGAGACAGACTGGGGAGCAGAACAGGCAGATCTACTGAAATACACTGCTGAGGGGAACAGTGAGCAAGACAGGAGAGGTCTGCTGTGCCATATATGGGTTAGCTCCCTGACTAGGGATTGAACTCAGGCCATAACAGTGATAGTGCTAGACTTAACCCCTAGGCCACCGTACAGGTCTTATGTTTATGATTCAATGCCTATTTCAGTCCCATCTACCTGGCTAGTACAGTGATTTTTGGGATCTTTACCCACCATGTAATTAATCTCATATTGCTTGCTCTGGATTTGATGTCATCCCTTTTTCTTAACAGGCTATAAATAGTTGTTTTGTTACTGCCCATATGTGCTTTACTCGACCCATTTCAAATCCATTGTTTCTAATTCCCTGGACACAATCCCTGATTATTAGTGAATTGCCGCCTTATTCATTGTACCTATGCAGGGCAGGTGGGCCAATTATTACTGCATTCTTATACCCAGTTATATGTTTATTTCTGTTAAGTTAAAGGTTGAATGTACTGGAATAGGTATTCTCTGAAAAGGGAATGAACAAGCCAGTTGATGCAGGGCTTTGTTCTAAAAATGGTAACCAAGGACACTTGGCAGAATTAAGCTTTATCTTTTGATTTTGGGACTAAGTTTCCAGAGAGTTATTATTTGGCACAAATCTTTCTGTTACTATGTGTTTTTCACTCCAGGTATTTAATTCCATATGTAAACAGATAAGGTGGGTTCCTGGTGTTCATAGTATTATATCTTCTCTTTTCACCTGTTAAATTAAAAACATAAACATAAGCTGAATGTATGCTTTCGGCTTTCAGGGTGCTGCTTCACAAATTACTACAATTTCTGTTCTCAATTTGAATGGGTTAATATAGCATCTCAACATATCTAATTTACTTACATGTTGTAGTTTATGCACTAAACTGCTTGATATAGACATAATATGAACATTTGAACTTGCTTTTCAAGGAACTTAAATCCTGAATTATTCAGATCTTTTATCATATTTGTTTTAAAAGTACGCTTATAAAAAGGAATGCTGTGATCACTTTTTTCTTAAACACCATAAGAAAAATTCTGGGATTATAAATGTAAGCTGAAAAATTGGTGGGACTGCAGAGATAACCAATGGGGAAAAAAGTGCATTTGACAAAGATTTCAAAATATCAAGAAAACATGCAAAACAAGCCAAGGGTCAACTTTTGATCCTAACTCATATTGCTATTTGTGAGTTAACTAGCTTAGGAGATAGCATGAGAGAGAGAGGGAGAAAGGAAAAAATAATATTCTGGAAATAATTATTATTGCTAAAATTTCTGCATCTAATATTGGAATGCTTATGTTTGGAATTTCACATGCATCATGAAAATGTGTATTTCAGGTATGCGGAGAAAAACAGCGCTTTGAGAAGTTGATGGAACACTTCAGGAATGAAGACAATAATATAGATTTTATGGTGAGTTATTTCAGTACCATATTCAATAAAACAAACTCAGTCTCAAAACTTATTTCCTAAGTCTATTTGTATTTATATTTTCAAAAATATACATATATGTATGTATGAATGTTTATGTGTACAAAGGGCAAGGAATTGGGTATCATAGACAATAGATCTAGGTGATATCGTTCCTCATAGTCTGTATTTTCTCTTTATGGCATTTATTTCCAGTTTAGTCCATTATATACACAGAAAAGGCCAAAAGTACTGTTTTTTTTTTTTTTAATAACATTCAGGAAAAGGAAGTTAATACCTAGTCTAAATAGTTGTGATGGCCAAATTTAGCTGTCAGTAGTGCTTCAAAGATTCCTAAGAATTGACAATTTTCCCTTCTGCATCTCCCAACCTATGGAGAATTTCTTCCTACTGTGTTCTTAAAGTCTAAAGTGGTTTGGCCTGTAGAATTTAATATATGTGCCCCCCAATTAATGTATTGTAGTTATTCTCCCGCCTTGACCTCTTTCCCACTCCGGTAATTCTGTGAGGGCATATTCTTGCTCCTTAGCAGGTTAGATTACCTGCAAGAACATGTGGTTCAGCAGCAGGACTGCATCTGCAGGTACGGCTAACAAAAGCAATTTGAGCACGTCTGAATTCATATACCAAATCTTAATCCTGGACCAAACATCAAATCTACTATAGAAGACAGTTAATTTTCTGAGTCAGAATATTGCATCTTAGTTGTAACAGATCTGCAGGCTTTCTGACCTAATGCAGTTGACTTAGGGAGCTGCTGAGCCCAGGAAGTCCTTACTGTGCTGAGTTTCCAAGAATATCTAGAACCTGGAGCACATGTCCCAGTCAGTTCTTACCTTGCTGAATCCTCTAAAACCTGTGCTTGGGATATCAGACAGAATTTTAATTTGATTGCCTCAGTGACTTGTAAAACATAAATCATAGCTTTACAATTAGGTGAAAAAATTTTTCTGGGTCATCAAATTTTTATGTATCCTAGCCCTCAATCTCTTCCAAAATCAGTGAAAAGAAGAAATTCTTTTATAGACTCTCTTCTGTTCCACAAAGCATATCTTTTGTGTTTTTTTTTTTTTTTAAGTGAAAATTAAATGTGAAATTAGAAATACTTACATTGCCTTTTTCATTCTTCTTGTTAGGATTTTTTGCACTATTAAGGCTAATGCTTGCACTGGTGAAAAAGAGATGGAGAGAAGCCATACCCAGCCTCACATTACCAGTTTCTTTCCTCTGCCTTCAGAGGAGGAAATCACCTATTCCTCTAAGTTGGGGTTGCAAACTGGAGGTTGCTAGGCTGAAGCCTACCTACAGACCTTCTAAATTTAATCTGACAGTGATGTCTTCCCATAAGAAAATTTGAAAATTGCATATGAAAACAAGGTGTACCTGATTACCCTAGGCTCCTGTTCTTGCAGTGTATCAACTGCTGGAACCAGTAGACCCTGTCCTTTTCTTTGAAAATGTCCTTTCTACTTTGTCACAGTCCACACCATTCCCTATGAGTACACACAGCCCACTTCATTCATTTATCATACCCATTGGATCTCTTTGCCATTTGAGTTTCTACTGAAATTATAATCACGTATTAAGCCCTTCAAAAAAAAGAAAAGCTGTACTGTTTACAAAAGATAGCATATTTCCTATCAATTTGTTTATTCATCTGTATAGAAGTTATTTGGGGCTCCTGGTATACAGGTACTGTGTGCTCTATTCATGTGTCACCAACAAGTAGTTGCCTCTTAGGCATATTATAAAACTCAATAAATCATTTAGACCTGCATTCAGAAGAAAAATGGAAAGATGCCAAAGCCCAATCATATTTTTCCTGCAGAAAATGAGTCTTTTCATAAGCTATCTTGGGAATGCCGTTAAGTTATGCAACCTCCCAAACAACATACTCTTCATAAAATATAAGTTCTTCCAATGTAGACTAAGAACTTTTTCTGTATTTTTTCTGAACAAAAGAAAAGAAAAAAAATTCCACAAAATATTGTTTTAGCTCATTTAACCATAGACCCTGAAGTAATTTGTTAGTAAATTGAAAAGACAGCCCCATGTAACAGGAGAGTTTACATTTCTTCCAGTGATAGCCAGTGCATAACATATTCTCAGAGAAGACTAAGACTGACTTTAACTCCACAAAAATACTTAAGAAAAAGAAAGGAAGTGAGGTGTGGGGGAGAGAGAAAGAATAAGGCTCTTTGCAGAGTAAAATGAATTTGGGTCCTACAGTCATTTTACCTTCTTGCCGGAATCCCTGCTTAACCATAGAAAGGAGGCATTAGTAAGATATTTAACCATAAACAAACTGTCATTATTAAAAGCAAAATATATCTGGTGAAGTCCCTTCTGTTTTTTACCCAACTGGGGACTGGTTTTCTTTGTGGCAGGTATCAGGGCCACGGATGCCACTGTAGGGAGAAAGCAGTGCAAGTAGCACATTGCAGTTTTATGGAATGGGAACTGCTTGATTATTAGAAGTCAAAAGACGGGATCAGGATCCTGTTACTATCCTGTTAGTGTGGTAGGGCTATAGTAAAATTTTGGACTTGTTTATCTTATGTCATCAGAGGTGATTTAAATTTAATTTGCAATAATTAACGTTTTCTGCAGTATACCTATAATAACTTATATAGTTTATTGCATATACCTATAAAACTAAAAAAAAAAAATCACTACTGAGATACAATTAACACATTATCTACTTTTCCTACCTAAAGTATGTGACTCTACATATCTTTAATATATTTGCAGGGTTGTATGTATATTTGCAATCTAATTTAGAATGTTTGTTGACCCAGAAAGAATCTCTGTACCCATTAGCAATTGTTGCCCTTTTTTCCAACTCCCAGTCCCAGGCAAGTTCTAATCTACTTTCTATCTCTATAGATTTTTCCCATCCTGGATATTTCACATGAAATTATGGAAATTACATATATGCAATCAAATATGCAACTGATATAGGTCACCTAGCATAATGTTTTTATGCTCATTTGTGTCATAATGTGTACTGATATTTCATTCCTTTTTATTGTTAGGTAATATTCCGTTGTGGGGATCTGTCATATTTTAAAAAGTCCATCTGATGATGAACATTGGGGTCTTCCCCCTGATGTTTTGATATTTATGAATAATGCTACTATAAAAATTTGTGTACAAGTTTTTATAGGAATGCACATTTTCATTTCTCTTGGGTATATATACATAGAAGTGGAATTACTGGGTCATGTGGTAATTCTAAATTAACATTTTGAGTCTGTGAAACTTTTCGAAATAATTGCACTGTTTTACATCCCCACCAACAATAAATGAGGGTTCTGATTTTTCCACATCCCTGACACTTGTAATTATCTTTCTCTTTAATTATAGCCATCTAGTGGATGTGAAGTGGTATCTTATGATACCTCTATGACTTGAGTTTTAAAAAGTAATAAAATATTTTTAAAGACCCAATGAAAATGAAACTGAGGTTAGATTGTAAAATTGAAAGCATATGCCTATGTATGATTCAACTGGGAAAACAAGTTTGGAGTATGTCTAACCTATTGGCAATTTCATTTCAGGTGGCTTCTATGCAGTTTATTAATATTGTAGTCCATTCAGTAGAAGACATGAATTTCAGAGTTCACCTCCAGTATGAATTTACCAAGTTAGGCCTGGATGAATACTTGGATGTAAGTGTTCTTAAATTGGCTCCAATTTAAGACTTGATTTATTGCCTGTCCTTGCAGATACACTTCCATAGTGACTAAACAATGTTTCAAGTCCTATGCAAGCAACCACTGTGGTGCTAGTTGAAAGGAATCTATATAATGCAGTTTACCAGAGAAACTGGTTTCTTTCCCACCTCCTGCAGGTCTTCTGCTGCAGCCTTTTAGTACCAGAGTTAGATAACCTCTTATATGCTTGCTACAGGTTTTTTATGCTTTTGAATTCTGCCTGTGTCAAATCTCATCGCACCCTTCGTCTGGGCTGTCGGGCAATTCACTTTCTTGGTTATCTGGAGACCCCATCTGAGCAGGCAAAGTCAAACTAAGTCTGCGGTAGAGTGATACAGTGAGAAAATGGACAGCAGAGACTTCTTCATGTAGCTGTTAAATTTTGCTAAAAGTCTTTGCAGCTTAGAAGTTTCACTTTCAGTTCTTTGGAGATGGGAGTCTGAAGCTTCTCTTTCCCTTCCTCTTTTGCTGAAGTGCTCAGTCTGTTCCCTGTAGTTCTTCAGCAAAGAGACAGAAAATTGTTGTGAAAGTAGAAGTGCGGTACCTAAGTGTGTATAGGATGTACCATTGACCTTTGACTTGTAGGCAGTTTTGTATTCTCTTCTCTATAGGAATGGTTCACTTGAATTTAAAAGACCACTACTGATAGGGCATTCAGAATTGTTGACCTCAATTCTATTTCTAGCTATGAAAAAGGACTTCCCTTAAATGTTTCAGACTGCAGCTGCCCATCTTTGTTAGGGGTGAAGCCAGCCAATTCATGTAGATTGTAGCCCCTGTTTATTGCATGACAGCAATCTCAGAACACAGCTTTGCTTTTCAGATCAGCTGATCTGCCCTTGGTGGCCTTAGGTCTCTAAACAGGGAAAGCATACATTTCCACTAGAGAGTTACTCGAGTTATTTTACTTTTAAGGACCCATCCATGCCTTTGACAAAATGGTGTATTAAAAAGTTTTTTCTGCTTTGAGATAGAGGTTTGTCCTCTTTCCACACATGCTCTCGGTAGCAGTGTTTGAATAAAAATTGGGGGGTTTGTAGATTTCTTTTTTGTAAGTTTCTGATTTTTTTTTTTAAGATTTATTTATACATACAAGAACTGGATACAGACCAGAGGCGCGGGAGGGTTAGATAATTCACCAGAGGCAGAGCAGGGAGCAGAACAGGCAGACGGACCAGAAGGAAGCACTGCTGAGGGGAGCACCGGCGAGACAGGATAGGTCTGCCACGCCATGTGGGTATCTCCCTGGCCGGCTGGGAATTAAACCTGTGCTACAGAGGCTGCAGACAGCTTCACAGCACTGTGCTCAACCACTCAGTGCTCTGTTCAGGCTCCAGGTCACAGTGGGAGTTAGTAACACATCCCTCAGTGCCCCTCCTCATTATCACTCCTGTGAAAAATCCTGCTAAGCTGCTTTCCGTTTTTATCCCCCCATTACCTTTACTCAGACATCTTTTTCAGTTCTGACTCCTAAACTAAGATAGGATATATTCTCTTCAGAACAAGCTAAGTTGTAGAATTCCAGATTACACCTAGGAGAAAATTCATTTTTATGAGAAATTATATGGAATGGAATTCTTAAAACTTAAACATATTTAAAAAGAAACCTGTTTCTTTAACTTATTTTTTTTTTTTTTTTGATAGAGGCATGCTTTATTTATTTGTTTTGCTGGTTTGTTTGTTTGTTTTGTTTATACATGCACTGGGTACAGTCAGAAGCGCGGGAGGGTGAGAGAATTCACCAGAGCCAGAGCGGGGAGCAGAGCAGACAGAAGGACCGAAGCACACTGCTGAGGGGAGCAGCGGGCGGCAGGAGAGGTCTGCGCGCCATGTGGGACCCTCCTCCAGTGGCCGGGGAGCAGCCGGGGATCGAACCGGCGCCGCAGAGGCTGCGGGCAGCTTCGCAACCCAGCGCTCAACCGCTGCGCCACCGGGGAGGCCCTGTTTCTTTAACTTATTGGTCTGTTGTTTCTATACCCTGATAGAGGTGGTTAGAAGAATATTATTCTAAGCATAAAACATATAAATTCTGCTTTAGTTTACAAAACCCTAACCTTGTTAAATAACCATGGATTTGTTCAACAAATGTTTATAGGCATCATGATTGTGTTAGGTATTATTTTTACACTCATCTGATCCCAGTGGAAGTCATGAACTGTGTTTATGCATAAGGGAGTTTCACTGGTTAATTTGGCTTCTAATTTTACTGTAGAGCTAGTTGACTTTCTTTGGGGTGCCTAGCTTTGTGTGCCTAGTGTAAATGGGGAAAGCTTCCTCATCTGTGCTTTGGGAAGACTGAGTTGATAATGGGGCAGTGTCTTAGGGAAGTTTTTAAGGAGGGTGGACTCTATCAGTTGATGCTAAAAAAAAAAAACAACCAAAACCCACGAATCATATACACTGCCTCCTACCTAACCCTCTCCCCAAACTGAACTGTCATCACTACCTAGGCAATGTTCTACCCACTCCAATCTCTTTTGTACAGATACCCCTCAAGTTTCAATTTACCTGTGATTGTTACTACCTATCAGAGTTGCTTTTAATTTTTCTATTGTCTTCATTTCATCCCTTTGAAAAAGTTTTAGGATAGAGCATATCTACATAGGAATAGATCTACAGAAAGGGTTAGAGAGGAAATGTGTTTCTGGTTGAGAGAGCTCATTCACCAAAAATAGTCTAAAAGTGTCCTTTTATTTTTTTAAAGATTTATTTATTTATGCATACAAGAGCTGGGGTACAGGCCAGAGATGTTGGGGGGTGAGAGGATTCACCAAAGACAGAGTGTGGAAGAGAACAGGCAGATTGACTGAAGTACACTGCTGAGGGGAGCAGTGGGCGAGACAGGAGAGGTCTGCTGCTCCATGTGGGTAGCCCCCTGGCCAGCCAGGGATCGAACTCATGCTGCAGTGGCTGCAGACAGCTTCACAGTGCTGTACTTAATCCCTTTTGCCACAGTGGGATTAAAAGGCTAACGGTGTCCTTTTAGGTAGTCACTCCATAATGCTCTAAAAGGAGGATGATGTATCAAACCATCTCTTGGAAAAGATGAGACTTTGGAACGGACAAACCTTGTAAGTGCTTGGGTAATAATTTGTTTTACTTCCACAAACATGCTAACACCTCCTTCTTTTGGATTTTGACTCTTAGAAGCTGAAACACACCGAGAGTGACAAGCTGCAGGTGCAGATTCAGGCTTATCTGGACAATGTGTTTGATGTGGGGGCTCTGCTGGAAGATGCTGAAACCAAGAATGCAGCATTGGAGAGGGTGGAAGAACTGGAAGAAAACATCTCTCATGTAATTACATTTCAGAAGAAGAAAAATTGCTAATTATTTTACTTGGTGCAAAGAAGAATAGACTTTAGTTTTAATGGCAGTAAATGAATAGATTTTTGAGTTTAGGAGTGCTACAACTTGAGATAGAGGGCTACCAGAGCCATTAAGCTTCTTCAACGAAGGCAGGTGTATGGCTTAAAACTAAATGGAATCTGCAGCATTGCCTTAGCTTTTCTGCTAACTTTCTGCTGAGTCCAGATCTCCTGGCCATCTTTGTTACGTAGTGGAGTTAGATGATTGGCATTGTTAGAGGAAAATTCAAAACTCAAATATGTAAATTTGGCTCCAGGTAAATATGTATCTTTTTCTGAGTCAGAGTTGTCCTCTACCAAACGTGCCCACACAGACCCATGGGCAGGATGATCTAGTGTCTTGTTGATGCAGTTAGGTAACCACTCCTGCCTTATGGTTACCTGATTTCTCAATAGATTTATATGAACAAAAGGCATTTTCAAGAAAATCAGCAAACTTTCCCATATATAATGTTCAGGAAGGGTGCCCTTTCAGTGTAATGTCAACTCTGTGTTGAAGCAGGGGCTTTTTTTTCTTGGAAGGATTATTCTTTCCACAGACCAACTTGAATTTGAGTCAAAGGCCTTCAGAGGCTGTTCACTGTTCATCTATTGAAAATTATTTGAATGTTGCAAGAGTGAAGTGCTTCGTTACACCGAGGCATATGAGAACTGACTTCTTTTGAAGAATTCCTATTGACAGTGCCCTTGATTGTGAAATGAATTGTCTCTGTTCGAAGGGATATTATTTTTCCCTTTTGAAAAGTTCATTAATTTTCTTAGTTAAAAGAATTGGCTTTTTGTTCTTCCCTTATCCTCATAACTTTGAAAATAGGAATGTTTATGACTTGAGGTTCACCCAAGTGGGAGAACCAGATCCCTTCCCTCTATAAGTGGTACAGTGATGTGTTTGGTACCTGCTTAGGAAGGGCATTATCTTCCCCAAAAGATTTGTATTCTATTCTGAACACAAACAGCAGAAATCTCCATTTTTCCTCCTCACCTTGCTTCCTTGATTTCTTCTGATGGTTTTCAGTGAGCTGTAAGAAATCAGAAGTTGTTCAGATTGGTACAGAGTTGTTCCAGTGGTTATGTTCACATTGTTATGTGACAAGAAACTAATATGTCACTCAGTCTCTTTCTCCTGAAGCTTCAGCAGCATACTTGTGATCTGGTGATCTCAGCCAGTTATACTTAATAACCCACTTTTGTAGCAGGACACCTGTTTATTTGAACTAGCCCTCCCTAGTGACTTATAATTTGGATAGTTTGGGTCAAAACAAGCATTAGTATTTTTTTCAGTGGGCTACCTATAGAAACAGAACCAAATTCACGAGACCAACAGTTTTCAAAAGGTTTTGCCTCATAGTCCTTTCTTAGGGAAAGAAAGGTAGGCTTCCTTTCTCCCACATCTTCTGTTTTCCACCCTTGCTAGTTCTTGTAGAAATGGAGTGTCACACTGTGTATGTCGAAACACTAAGGAGCTGACATATGGGTTTTGTTAAGGGTCCTGTATAAATTATTAATTCCTCGTAGAAAAAGCACATATTCAGAGCCCGTATTATGAATATTAACAGTTCTAGAAAGCATCTTGCGGAACACATGTAGGACTCTGAGGGACCCTAATGATCTTTGAGACCATTTTCTGAGAATCACGAACCTGATCAGATTGATCCCATGTTGTGACACAGCTTCCTTTTCAAAACTTTACAGTTGTCTGAAAAACTGCAAGATACAGAGAATGAAGCCATGTCCAAGATTGTGGAACTGGAAAAGCAGCTCATGCAGAGGAACAAGGAGCTGGATGTTGTTCGAGTAAGTGTGACCTGACATCTACTCTAGCTGGGCCTCCTAGGGCAGTGCTCCCACGTCATCTAGGGGAGCAGGAACATGTTCAGAACAATGCATCGAAGCAGCCTATTCATGAGACCAGTTTAGAGGTGATACTCAGATAAAAAGTACATATAATTAGGGTATGTATATATCTGTGTGTGTCATCAAATGCTGGAGCTTCAGGATTTCCTTATCACAGGTTTTGGGAGCAGTAATATTTTCCCATCTACATGAGTCAGGGTTTATTCTGTGGATCACCCATTTGGTTGAAAATCAAAGCCGCATGGATTTAATTCATACCACTTATTTATTTTTATTAAGACTTGAGCTTCTTTGTATTTCTTTGCTTTGCTTCTACTTGAAACCAGATTTGGTGGTTGCCATGGAAATGATGGAATCTCAGCACAGGCGAGACCTAAGGGCATTCACCAAAAAAAAAGTGGGGGGGGTGGGGGGATGAAGGGAGGGGGGAGGACAAAACAAAACCAGTCTGCTTTTTTATCACAAGACCCTGGGTATTTTATTTGCCTTAGCATTGTTTTACCTTAAGTGTCAGGTATTTATGGAGTGCCATCCATGTGCTTGGAGCTGTACAGAGCATAAAAGCACCAAAGTGCCTAGGGCACTTTCAGGGAAATGGCTTGCCTTTACACCACCGTTAATGAAATGGCACATTTTATGTGATGGTTATCATGTCTGCGTGTGTTGCTTGATATTCTGACATGCCCTATAGTTAACTCTAGGAAATTTACATTCTGGCACACCAATGAGTCAAAATTGTAGCATATGGACTCAATTCAAGTTCAGACTCTCAGATTATTAATAATAGACAGGGTGTGAAGAATGTTTCCCTGCCTGCTGGAGTTTTGTGGTGAGAGATCACATGTACAAGGCCCCGCAAGCAAGTTCCATAAAACCCTTTCGTTGGAACCTCCGCGGGCCCCTTCTAAAAGGAACCGGGACAGCCTTTGAATTGAAAATTACAACTTCTTTGTTTCCTGCTAAAAACCCAGACAGAAATAAGTAATTAGTGGAGTGAAGCATTGGACTGTTTTGTTAACTGAATTACTGAAAGGAAAATATTACAATTGCTGTCCCGAGCTTGGTCAAAGGGCATTGTCAGGGCCAGAGTAATCCATTCAAGACAGTCAGCCCCTGGTTACTGAAGAGTAGATTATTCCATGCTTTGCAGATTTTTAATCCCAGGCTGACTTCTCTCCAAGTCTGACTTAGAGCTATTTTGTCTACTTTCAGCTAATATATATGTAGGAGTTACAAGTGAATTTCAAAATCAGTGAAAGAAATACTTGCCACATCACTGGAATACCTTCAGCATATTCCAAAATCAACTATAATATTATTTTTTGGGTCATCTCTGCCTGTCCCTCTCCATCTGCAAGGAAAATTAGCTAACTACATTAACAGCAATAATTGTCAGACTATCAGACTATATTACAGGCATTATCAGTGAGTAATTGCTAATTAATGGGACTTAATAGGTCTGTCTGAGTTCCATGAAATCTCTATTTATGTGAATATTCCTATTCCTATTTTGGTGGGTTCTTTATCCTCCATTACAGTCTGATGGTAATAGATACAACTGTCTTGCGAAGACAAACTCTTGACCGTTGACTCTTTTGTAGGAAATCTACAAAGATGCAAACACCCAGGTTCACACACTACGGAAAATGGTCAAGGAAAAAGAAGAAGCCATTCAAAGACAGTCTACCCTGGAAAAAAAGATTCATGAACTGGAGAAACAAGGGACCATTAAAATTCAGAAGAAGGGGGATGGGGACATCGCCATTCTGCCAGTTGTGGCTTCTGGCACATTGTCCACGGGGTCAGAGGTGGCAGTGGGTAACTTTGTGGGACCAATAACGGGGGCTGCCTCCTCAGGACCTTTGCTCCCTCCTCCCCCACCACTACCTCTGTCATCAGATGCACCTGAAGCAGGTGAGAAGAGTCTGAGCTGGTATTTGGATATTTGTATTTCTTCTTTTACCCCATCTCCAGTCACGTCCTTTGTCTGCTTTTGTTGTCATGTTCTTTTATTGATTGATTTTAAGAACATTTGCTTCTTGTGGTTAAGGTTATAAATCTTCATTTCATACAGGTTGCAGTATAGTCCCTATTTGTAAATGAGAAAATTTTAGCCTTTGAAAAAAATCCATTGTCCTTTTCAGTGTTTCGTTTATGCACACTTTAGATGCATGTGACATATTGCAGGAAGAGCCATTCCCATTTTCAACACAGTGTGCTTTTTCTCTTTGCTAGTGCAAAATGGTCCAGTAACACCACCGATGCCACCACCTCCTCCTCCCCCACCTCCCCCACCACCCCCACCGCCTCCACCGCCTCCTCCTCTCCCTGGTCCTGCAGCTGAGACTGTGCCAGCACCTCCTCTGCCACCCCCCCCTCCTCCCTCTGCACCCCCACTGCCTGGAACATCTTCGCCCACAGTGGTTTTCAACTCAGGATTAGCAGGTAAGAGCACAGACTTAAAATCCAGGTACTTGTGTAAAAAATACTTACTTGATTTACCTCAGAAGGGTTAAAGCCATTTTTTGAATGTCCAGGTCTCATGAATAACAGGTACCTGCTTTTTATATAACAGCATTCCTGTTAATGTAGCAGTAAAGAAGAATTTGTCATGTACAGTAGACATTTTTCTCTGAGTAGCCCTTTCCACTCTCCCTGCCAGGAAGTTCTGATCTCACACTGTCTTCCCACCTAGAGAAGGGAGAGAGATAAGTTCCCTGCTTAGGAATCAAGATGTGTCATGTGTTCCTGACATCTGTAGTTGTCAGGGCTCTCACACAGAGTGCTTCTGACTCTTTTGGGGAGCTATTTGTGATGTTATTCCCTAAAGGGGAAAATCTCCTGCCTTACTGTGGAATTACCTGCTGTAGGCTTCAAGGCATTTCTTCTGAGTATTTGAGGACATCAGAATTCACTGGAGTGGAATTTTCTTCAAGGGCAAATGTGACCAAGAGCAGTATCTCCAGCCAGGAATTAATGCATTTTGTTTTCCTGCTAAGCAGGAGATAGAAGGCCGCATCCTTTCCTCACCAGAAATAAAACGGGGTAGGTGTGGTATGAGAGGAAGAGAGTTACTCAGATGTCTTAAAATACAAATTTTTATTTTTAACTCATGGAAATGAATGTTGACTCTTCTAAAATCCTTCAAGCCACCATTGCAGTCATGGAGTGTTTCCCTGGCATCTAGAATTGCTCTGAGCTTTGCTGTGCCATCTCTGTGACACTAGCTAATCCTGCCTCCTCCGTGCAGACTCATTTCCAGTGAAGAATTACCTTGTCAATGGTCTCCATTTCCAAGGCTGCAGTAGCGCTGAGTCTTTTCCCCAAAGTCAGAAAATCAGTCTTTGTTTTAAAGTCTTTCCCAGCTTCATCCCTTTGAATTTCCCATTAGCAGCTCTATTGGCCCATCATTAAGGCAAATTCATCTTTGTGACTGAAGACCTTTTCTGTCCAGAAAGCCATCCTTGCTTAATTCACATCAAATCTGAGGCATTTACTTCCACCCCAACTTCTATAAAACTGTCAAAGAAACACGCAAGGTGCCATTCAAAGTATTGTTCACTGTAAAAGCAGTGATTTATCTCTACCTTGCAAGGTCTCCTGCATCTACCACTTATTTCTAGAACCTTTACTGCTTCTGAAGTACAAAAGTTGGAAGAGTGTCATTATGGAACTATTGGGTTTTGGAATATAAGCAAACAAAAAAGCCTCATTTAAGAAGCCCCAGGAATGTGTTCCATCACCAGGCTGTTTTTAGTGACTGAGTGTGAAAATCAGTCATTGTCCTGTGTGCTGGGCTCACCGATGAGGCTTTCCTTGCTGTCCCCATTAGAGCAGTCACTGTGAGATGTGTCCACTGTGATGTGTATTGTCTGGTTCTGCTTCCTTTCTCTCGGGCACAATCTAACATGTCATTCAGCTTCCACCTGCCTTCACTGAGCCCTAAGGTGGGATTGAGGTCTGCCTGGGGAGAATGAGGGCCTAGGTGTGTTGGGCCAGGGCTCCCTTCTGAAGCTGTCTTGTCCACTCTGCTTTTTTTGCCTGACCTCTTCCTACTACTTTACAAGGTAGTTGGTTCTGTGGCTTACTCACTTTTACATTGTAGAACCCCGTTTTCAGCTGATCACGGGCTGCTCCTTCCAGTGCGGCTGCATTTGCAAGTTGTTCCCTTTCTGTCTTAGGCAAATCAAAGGATTGTATGTGGGACCGAAGAACCTCTCTTTCAGTGCCTTAAGTGTCCATTAATTACAAGATACTTTGTTTTGTAACATGTAAGGATTACAAGGCCTTCTGAGTCTTTTAAAGCTTGAGATCAGGCAATTTCTTCACAGCCTTTAATCTTCATTAGTCATCCTTAATTTGACTGTAAATACTTAGCGGTTGTAACCCATTTTATGAGATGTTTTGCCAGTGTGTTCAGTAACTGTCTCTCTCTGGAACAAGAGGCCAGACAGAATCAGGATGTCCCAGTACAGCCAAGAGGTAAAACTGAGATGCTATTGCAAGGCCTCTGGGAAGTTGGAAACCTATGATGTTAATAGGCCCTTGGATCCGCAGGCAACATAATGAGCAAACAGGTGGAGAGCGAGTGGAGTGTGTTCTTGGGGGCTGAGACAAGGGTCTAGGGCAAGGTCCCTTAAGTTGGTCTAGTTTATCATGTTCTTTGCGTTTTATAGAGAAAATATCAGTAGTGAAATGGGTACTTGAATGGTAAAGCTTAGTTCCTCCAACCTGTGATAGATTGGGTGTAATTTCCTTTTCCTAGTTAGGTCATCTGTGAACACTGGACATTCTGCTGTCTCTTTGGAAGAATGTGCTTTGGAACTTCACAATGGGAATTTGAACTTGGGCTGATTCTTTTTTATTAAAAAATTGTTCATATTGTATGGAGTATTCAACACAGTTTTAATATGGTTCTTTGGAATGGCTGTAATAATATTTTTTTCCTTCCCCTCTTCTGAAAAGCATTATTAAACAAATAATGATAAGCTAGTCTTCATGACAGGCCTTAATGGAAATGGATTTTTGGCTCTGTGCTGCCTGATGAAATGTTTTCGAGAAGCATGAAATTCTATGTTAAGCATGCGTGAACTACTGAGCCACTTGACTCTAACAATGTCTAATTTTTTTTGTATTTCCTCTGTTTTTTCTGCTTCCACAAAAGATGGGCCCATCAAGCTTTTCTGTAGGTGGCTCCTCACTGAGTGCATTGCGTATTTGCCATGTGTCCTTGTTGGTCACACTGTGCTTTGACATCTGTCTACTCCATCTTATCCTGAATCCATTGCATTTTGACTTGGTGTCTGGGAAGTCATGGTGTTGGCTGACTGTTAATCCAGGTTTGCCCACACACATTTTAGTTGAATGTGTAGAAGAGACTAGGACCCTTGAAACAGACATCCTGGATTCCATACGCCACATTCCTTTCCACTTGGGAAAAGGAGAGTTTGTTTCTTTTAATTTTGTCGTTGGATTTAAAGCCTGAACTACAGAAGGAGTTTAGATTTATTCTGAGGAGAATGGGTGAGCTCCACAGAGCAAGGAGCAGCTGCTGACACTCCCTCTCCTTCTAATGGTCCCCTGCTCTGTATGGAGCACCCATTTGCCCAGAGCTACCACTTTGGCTTGAACATATAAACCTCTCCTCTTCACCCCCACTCCACCTACTCAGGTAGATTCAGGAAAACCTTTCTGAAGAGAACTTTCCTGTTTGGACTCTGATCGCAGGCTTATTCCTAATCTTCCTAAAGACTTAAAAGTAGGGGAACTACACATGGCATGACTTCTAGTGACCTCCCGAGGCTTGCAGTGTCTGCTGAGAGATGGTAGAGGCCAAATGGCACTGAGCTGTCACCACAAATCATGAAAAGGTCCCTGCACAGTTCTCCCTCAACACTGCTGCAGCACCAGACTGGAGGGAAGTCTGTTCCTTTGTTCCTCTGATGACGTGGGTTTTCCTGGGAAGAATAGGCAAAAAATGAAGTGTAACAGGCCATCTTACATGCTTGGGTAGTGGGCTCTGAGGTGTCACATTTGGTGGTGTTAAGGCCTGGTTTGGCAAAAGCTTTGTTTCTGTGTTCCTGCATGCTTTTGTGTGGATCGATCAGATGACATTCCTGCTGCTTAAATGGCCTTTGTAACTCTGGAGGAATGAGAGGCACTGTCTGACTTTTTTACTTACCTCCCATCGAAGCAGGCAGCCAGGTAAAAGCCCAGTAATATGTTGAATATATTTTTTTTTTGCACTAAAGTTCTTTTTCCTTTGTGAGTGATGGCAAATATTGAGAACGCTGGCAGTGTGGTGGGCATGCTTGTACAGGAAGGTGACTACATATAGCTGAATGGTTTGGAAAGACTCCTTTCTGATGTATATCTAATATATGGAATTTTTAATGAATTACCTTTATAAGCTCATTTCTCAAAAATAAGAGGAATTGAAACTCACCCCCCCAACTTCACCTCTAAGAGAGAGCTCCCCTCCCTGTATATTAAGAGGTATTTTTAATGGGCTCATTGATGCCGTCCAATCGCACATAGTTGACGCCTATGGAGAACCTGCTTTTAAAAATGAGAAGGCACTGTGACCATTCTTGAAAAGCTATGCAACTTCCTGATATTTTTAAGTACCTCTTCTGTTGTCTGAAATGTTTTCTATTCTGGGCCATTCATAGCCCTTAGTCTGCAATAACTATGTCGCCAACCCATTATCGAAATCATCCACAGGAATGTATTGCTCTGGCTGAAAGTCAGCCTTCTTGATGCTACATTCCTGGTGGTTTAGACAGCCACTCTCTGAAGTCTCTGATCATCTTTTAAGATTTGTTTGGAATTATGTGTCCTGGAAGCAAGAATTTAGGATGTTAATATTCAGCTCATGCTCGTCCATGTCAAACTAAGTCACACAGATAATGCCCTGTCTGCTACCTAATAACTTGCTAATAATTTTTGTTCCCCAGCACTTTATTTGTTCTCATCATTGACCTAACACTGCAACTGAATGCATTAGGAAAACAGATGTCTGCATTAGAAAAACAAGTCAATCCTTGGCCCTTGGACAACTTTAACACAAAGTTGTTAAAATTGTGTCCATCAACCAAATGATTACCTCAGATTGCTTTGCCCAAAGCTATCTGTGATATTTTCCATATTTAAGAACTCTTGGGCGCCTCTTGCTAGTCTTCCTCCAGTGTTAAAGTGTCATCTGCAAGGATTGTTCTCTGATTATTCATGAAGGGTCACCTGGTCTTGGTGTGATCTTAATTTCATCTGTCTGACCTTTGTAGCTGTGAAAATTAAGAAGCCAATCAAGACGAAGTTCAGAATGCCGGTTTTTAACTGGGTTGCTCTGAAGCCAAATCAGATTAATGGCACAGTCTTCAATGAAATTGATGATGAACGAATTTTGGAGGTATCTTTCTTTCACTGGTTGGAATTGAGGGATGTTCTCTGTGCAGAGAAGCCAAATGTTGATCTGGGAATTTGAGCAGTTAAGGGCTAGTATGTTTAGTATCCTGATGTAAAGAAAAATGGATGGATTTAAATATCAAAGACTAAAATTGGACACTATTTTGTAAGGTGTTATAAAATTATGTTTAAAAAGTTATGCTGAAATGGAATAGTTTTGAGTGTCTTCAGTGGATACCACAAAACATGTATCAGATATAATCCCTGCCTTTAATTTATCAAAGAGTATAAAAACCCTTTGTTGAATTGTAAGTGAATAGGGATCTAATATTCACACTCTCTAGCTGGAGTGATAGCTATTTTAGTCTGTGGTAGTCATCCATGCAGACTAATTATTGAAAGGCATTTGATTGGTTGGAATCAGATTTCAGAACATGCACATGTGTGTATGTGGTGTTATTTGTTCTTTAGATAGGAAGAAGCAAGCCACAGTTAAAGACAAGTGTCGAATAGGAAAAGCTAGTGATTTGACGTCTAAAAGATGACTTACTTTCTTAAAATTTTTACGTATAATCCAGTTTGCCTGTTTCAAATCTTTCTACTCCAGGATTTAAATGTGGATGAATTTGAGGAAATATTTAAAACAAAAGCCCAAGGTCCTGCCATTGATCTTTCTTCGAGCAAACAGAAGATAACACAGAAGGGGTCAAACAAAGTGACATTACTAGAAGCAAATAGAGCCAAAAATCTTGCCATAACTTTAAGGAAAGCTGGAAAGACTGCAGATGAAATATGTAAAGCTATTCATGTGTAAGTTAAGGGGGTTCTGGGAAATTCTAGTAAATTTAGGATAAAAAGGAGAATAGGAAAATTATAAATTAATATATAAAGGAAGTATTTCAATAGTCGGGCAAGATCTAAGATAAAAGATGGAGCCATCCTTGATATCCACACACCAGGTATTCCCTCTCTTTCCTAAGTGTGACTTCAGAGCTGAATAAAATGCTAACACACAGGTGTACCAGGAGTTCCCCTCACGAGTGCTGTGTTGGAATGAGTAATTTATCGTTTTAGAAGAGTAACAGCTGGATTGTGACATTTATTATCTTGGTCTGCTTTCTTATCTCGGCCTACAGCAAGACTTACAAAAAAATAGGAAAGTTGAATGGACTATTGCAGATGCCAAGAAAAGGGAGGAAATGTTAGTTTTCTCTGGAGTATCTGAATTTTGTCCAGATTTGTTACATATAAATTTGATGGCATTTGTGGAATGATACATTTCAATGCCAGATGCAAATATGATACAGATGCATATTTTAGTTCATAACAATAGGAATGTGATTTCTGTTGCTCTTAGCACTTTCAGGACATTTTAAGCTAAGTTCAGTTCTTTTTAATTCTTAAACTGTAGAAAAGGCATTGGTTTTACTTATTTTTATAGAAGAATCTCTTTTGGGGTCAAGATGACTTTCAGATACTATAAGAATTAGATGTTTTGGTGTTTAATTCTTTGTAAACTTAGTTATTTCATAAAATTTTGAGCATAGATTTTTACAGGAATATTGACCCTGTGACTCATTTGTTCAATTTCATGTCCTCAGCCAGGGTTATAATCTAATCGTCAAGTGCCTCATAGAGAATATTCTGTTTCTTAATGTTGAAATCTGACGTGCATTCTGGTTTTTAATCTTTTTATATTTGTCATGATGGTTAAATATAGTTGTATTATTTTGCTGAACAAAATTGTGCAGAGAATAAAATAGAGATTTATCAAATTGAGCATTCATCTGCAAAGACCCGGTTCTCCTTTAAAGGATGTATGCTAAATTTAAGCAACACCATCATATATAGTACAGGCATTTGGGGGCATTTTTCCCTAAAGAAAAAGTATCCCAGACTTTTGGTTTAATTGAAATAATTTATAGAGTCATGGGTATTCTGTAATGTGTGTATAATATAAATGTCTTTAATTAGCATGTTCTTGAATCATTTAACCATCAGATGTTTCAGCCTTCCTCCTGCCTCCTCTTCCTACTTACAATTGATTTCTAGAGGCTTAGAACTATACTAGTAGCCTAATAGCTGTGCACAGAGGTTGTGATTGGTCCAGTTTTCAGCAAGGGCCAATGAGGTACTTGATGCATAGTCAGGAGCCAGTGCCAGGGGTGTCCTAACAATCCAGCTATAGACATGGTCAACCTAGTGACCTGGTGCTTCATGAGATGGACCAGGTGGAGGTGTTGTGAAAGGATAGGTTTTCTCTCGAACACTGACAGGTCCACATCTGTCTTTAGATTTGACTTGAAGACACTGCCTGTAGACTTTGTAGAGTGCCTGATGAGGTTCTTGCCAACTGAAAATGAAGTGAAAGTGCTCCGGCTCTATGAGCGGGAAAGGAAGCCCCTGGAGAACCTGTCAGATGAAGATCGCTTCATGATGCAGTTCAGCAAAATCGAGAGGCTCATGCAGAAGATGACCATCATGGCCTTCATTGGCAACTTTGCTGAAAGTATTCAGATGCTGACTCCTGTGAGTGAATTAACTCGGGCAGGAGGGAGGACATCCAAAGAGATGTAGGGGCTTCTTACTGTTCTTTTAAGGCTCTTGTAGAATTGTACTTGGTAGCATGGGCTTTTTTTTTTTTTTTTAAAGTTTTATTTATTTTGCCTAGAAGAATTGGGGTGTAGGCCAGAGGTGCAGGGGGTGAGAGGATTCATCAGAGACAGAGTGGTGAGCAGAACAGGAGGATTTACTGAAATACAGTGCTAGGGAGAGCAGTGGGCAAGACAGGAGAGGTCAGCTGTGCCATGTGTGGGTTAGCTCCCCGGCCAGCGATGGAACTCAGGTGGTAGCGGTGATAGCACTGAGACTTAACCTCTAGGCCACCAGGGAGGCCTGGTGACATGGGCTTTAAAGACTCCCTTCCCGAACTTTCTCGATTACATTTTTATTTTGGCCACCTTTTTCATAATAAGTATGCCAAGTAAATTTGAAAATGGTTGAGATTCTGTGTTGCTGCTTTCCCTAGAAAATGCCATTTTTTGTGTCCTTTGCCTTTCGAACAGTACTTCAGTATGGGACAGGAAAAACATTTTCTCAAACTTTGTCTGCTCCTGAAGATACCAGTTCTCTGGTTGGATTGGCAAGACTGAAATGTGATTTTCATTTTTAAAAATAATCCCATATCTTTAGTCAAAAGACTTAACTGGTTTTCACTGGAAACATTAAATTTACTCTCTTCCTTGGGAGTTTGTTGCAGCACACTGTGGTGATAAAGCGATAATAGCCAGCCATCTCTTGTTCTTTTCGCTATTCTGATACTGCATTATGAGTATTATGAAAGTTTTTTACCAGTTCTAATTCTAAATAAGCTTATGTTAATTACTAATTATAATGTCATGTCTGTTCAAAACATTTCCTGAGAAAACTGGAGGATGATTATATTCCTTTGTTGTTTCATTTTGTTTTCATTCTTGAATTTAAAAATATAAATTGTATGACTTAATGAAGAGTCATAGCAGGGAACTGAGTTCTGCTAGAAGATGATGTTGACTCCTAACTTTGTGATAAGTACTTCTGACATTATGTCTTGTAGTGAATGCCTTTTTAGAGAAAAGCTTGCATGCACCGGTGGGGTTACTTAGTAGGACAACTTAAATATATTGTGTTTAGAAGTAATGGAATCAGCATTCAAACTTGAAGTCTAAATGCCAGCCTGTTTTCTTCTGTGTTAATTTTTAGTTTCCAATTAGTTTCTCATTTTTAACATGTCTTTTCCTCCCCTTCCTTCCTTTGCCTGGAATCTAGCAACTGCACTCAATTATAGCTGCATCTGTTTCGATAAAGTCATCCCAAAAACTCAAGAAAATTCTGGAGGCAAGTGAAATTTTCCTTTTAAACATGTATGGAAGACACTGACTTATTGGCAGCATTTCTCTGACTAAGAATGCCTGGATGCTCTATTTTTGTTTATTTTATATATTTTTTACATCATTTTTCATTTTTGTACAATGTATGCATTTCCATACAGTCCCCATAAAATTCCCACCACCTTTGTTTTGATCCTACTCCCTTCTCCCCCTGTAGTATGTCTCTGGTTTATAGTTGCCTGTTGATTTTGATTTTTACTTTATTATAATTAGTTTTTATCCTGATCCCTTATTTGGGTCTTGGATGCTCTATTGATGAACTTCTTTTTTTCACAGATCATTTTGGCCCTTGGAAACTATATGAATAGTAGTAAACGAGGAGCTGTTTATGGATTTAAACTTCAGAGTTTAGATCTGGTGAGTGGACTTAAAGAAACATAAGAACTCTGTGAGGGACAAGGCAGCTGACAAAGATTAAGCCCTGGGTGGAGAGACTCTGCCCTTGGAATTGGGTGGGATGTTCTTCTAGTGGGAGGATCAATTGGTACAAATCTTCTGGAACACCATCTGGCAGCAAGCACTTAGAAGCTTAAAAATATTCATGCCCTTTGACCTATGTTTCCATTTCTAGGAATCTTTTCTCGAGAGTCTGAAGTATGGACTAAATAATTATCAGCAATGTGAAGATTAACATTTTGGGAAATGACTAAATACATTTTAATTGTAGTTAACACAGTGACCTATTCTTTAAATATGAGACTATTTGTGAAGAGTTTTCAAAGAAATGGGTCATTTTCTGTTTAGAAAAGAAAAAAGCAGAGTATAAATTGCATGTACATTTGATTTCAGCTAAGTAAAATATGTAGAAACAAGGTGAATGGAAGTTGGTTAAGATGTCAATAGACTGGGTGAAATTAGGGAATTTTTTCAAACTGCTTCTTCATATTTTCTAAAAAGTTTTGCATTACTGGTTGGAAAAGGGTACTCTGCTTTTCAGAATCACCTGACTTATATGAACACGAGTAGAAAAAATGTCTATGGAAGCCTTTTTCACAGTCCATGTGGGACTAAATGTGGCTTCCACATGAAAAGGTTGGTAGTGGGTTGAGTTCTCAGCCTGGGGAAAAACATGGTTATTTGATAGGGATGGTCCAGTAAGTCATAGCTCTGCCCCCAAAAGGTCATGGTTTTAATCACATCTGCTGACGGCCATCAGTGCCTGGGGAATAAGAGTGGAGCTGAGCTGTTGGTGGGACTGGAAATTGGTGTAGCCATTTAGGAAGACAGTTTGGAGGTTTCTCAAAAAATTAAGACTAGAAATACCATGTGATCCAGATATCCCATGGTTGGGTATTCATCTGAAGAATATGTAAACACAAATTCAAAGAGATCTATGCATCCCCATGGTCATTACTCACAATAGCTAAGAACTGGAAACATCCAACTACCCATACAAAGATGAGCGGGTAAAGATGTGGTCCACGTACACAGTGGAATACTATTCACCTATTTGAAAAAAAGATGAAATTCTGCCATTCGCAACAGCATGGATCCACCTAGATAAAGATAAATGCCATGTGATTTTGCTCATATATGGGACATAAAGATAGAAAACCAATGAATGCACTGAAAAAAAAATTCTTAGACTATAGGAAGAAAACAGTGATAACCAGCAGAGGAGGGTTAGGGGTGTTTGTAAATTGAGTAAAAGGAGTCAGTTAGATGGTGAAGGTGGAAACTGGAATTCTGGTGGCAGGTATAAGTGTCTGTACAGAATACTGATTTAAAAGACTGTACATCTGAAATTTATAATGTGTTATAAAGCATTTTACTTAAAAAAATCTTAACATTAAGGGAATAACAGCCATATATATATGGGCCTCCCCGGTGGCGCAGCGGTTGAGCGCTGGGTTGCGAAGCTGCCTGCAGCCTCTGCAGCGCTGGTTCGATCCCCTGCTGCTCCCTGGCCACCAGAGGAGGGTCCCACATGGCGCGCAGACCTCTCCTGCCGCCCGCTGCTCCCCTCAGCAGTGTACTTCGGTCCTTCTGCCTGCTCTGCTCCCCGCTCTGGCTCTGGTGAATTCTCTCACCCTCCCGCGCTTCTGACTGTACCCAGTGCTTGTATAGATAAATAATAAATCTTTAAAAAAAAAAAAGCCATATATGAAGAGTGGGAGCTATGTAAGGAGAACTTGTACACGCCGCTAGCCATTTGAAAATCATTGAGCTGGTTCATTAAAGAAAGATGCCAATCTTGAACCTGCTATAGCAGTGCTTTTTGTCCACTCTTGCACCCTCTGTTCTTTGGTTTACTCTGGGTAGGAGAACGTCCTCTGTGGGGTAACTGTCCAGTCAGCCTTCACTCTAACTCTTGTTCCCTTTTGTCTTCAGCTTTTAGATACAAAGTCAACAGACCGAAAGCAAACGCTGTTGCACTATATATCTAATGTTGTGAAAGAAAAATATCACCAAGTGTCCCTATTTTATAATGAGCTTCATTATGTGGAGAAAGCTGCTGCAGGTACTTGATTTCAGCAATTAATGCTTCTCTTAGGTATTGAATATCTTTCATCTTGAGGGAACCATCCCTCTTTACACAAACATTCTTCAGCACGCCTTGAACAAGGCAAGTCCGAAATGTCAGAAGCTCTGAGCTGGAGTACTTCAGCCATGGTGTTGCTCACTGTTGGGAACAATAATGAACATGAAGATGAAGGTGACCTCTTTGTCAAGATGTCCTCTCATGCACCTCCATTTCTTACCCTTGATATTTCACTGCTTTTGTTTGGAATATGAGAATCAACGAATCACCCATACATACACACATGGATATACACATACACACAACTTCTTGAATATGATTTAGTGGCGTTCCACTTTCTCAGGTGTGGCTGCTCTGAATAGTTAACTTTAGCCAGAATATAAGTTATCACTACCTCTTGGTTGTTAATTTGCTACGGCAGTTACATTATCACTTAAGTCCTTATTGATGCAGAGATAGCTTGGCTGTACGAAGTAGTAGTATCTCCAAGTTATAGATGAGAAAGCTGACATTTTTAGAAGTTAAATGTCTTGCTCCCCAAAGTCACATGGGTAGACAGTAGAATAGAAACAGGAATAGAACCTAAGTTTTTCCTCAGATGGTGTTTTGTCCACCATACCACGTTCTCTCAAGTAGTAGGTTAGTAGAAGGAACAACATGCATACTGACCTTGGGATTGGTTGTATGTTGTGATTCCCAAATTGTGACATAGAACCATGAGCAGCCCGTGGTGTTTTCTATAAATGCCTAATTCTGAGGCCCATCCCAGCTTTGTTGAATCTAATCTTTGAGGGCAAGACCTTCTCTTATTGCCACAGACAATAAGTGGCTGCTTTTTCTTTGTTTTACTAAAGAACAGTTTATACTGTATCTCAAACAAGATATATCAAATTTTCTTGTAAAAATTTGCATGGCATTTGCAACCTGTGTGCTTACTGGTAGTCAGATTTTATTTATCTCTGTAATTCTCTCAGCCCGTAGCAAATTGACAGTGGGAATAAATGAATTAGCAAATGAATGAGATGATGTAGCTCTTGGAATAGATGTGCTGATGAAGGTCCAGTGGAGACTGAGAGGCAGGTGGAAATGGTATTTTGAAGAATTGTGCAATGCAGAATGTGACTATATAATGAAACCTCGGTTTGCTTAGGCTGTTACCAGGATTTCTGTTTTCCATTCAAGTTTTCCTCTCTCTCAATTAAGAGTTCTGTTAGCATCACAATTCTAATGAAGGAAAATAGTTAAAAGAAATTCCTGCCTTAGTGCAATTAGCACATGTTGTGTGGCCTAAATGAGACTCCATTAAAAGTCAGTTGAGTTGAATTGTGCTCAAGTGCCCAAGGGATAAGGTTTGCTGACATTTTTATACTTTCAGTAATTTATTCTCTCACTACTTCCTTTATCCAGTGTACCTTTTTGAGTGCCTGCAGTGTACTTAGTACTGTCCTAAGCATTGAGGAGTCAAAGATGAGTAAGACAGAATCTGTCCAGTGAGGAGAAAACATCCCGCATTACTCTGTAATTCATCCTTGTGCAGTGCTGAGTCAGGCTGTGGGGAGCCAAAGGTGGGGCCTGACCTCTGTGAGAAGCTGGCTCAGGAGGCTGCAGGAGTGGGCCTGCTCTGTAAGGGTAGCCACCCTACAGATGAAGAGGCTTATGCTAATAAACCCTTCTGAAGCAGGAAAACATGGTTTTAGAATAGGAAGCTGTCCAAAGTTGCTTTGGGTCCCAGTGGGCAGGACAACTCAAGTTCAGCAGATAAAATACTTCCCCCTGCTGGAAAACCACAGAAATGCAAAGAGCTAAAAAAAAAACAAAAACAAAAACTGTAGGTAAGTCGAGTAACATCTTGGATCTTCACAGTTAAGGAACATCTGAGCCTGCTGGCCACCAATAAGCTTTTGTTTTATGTAAGAGAACAAAGTGGGGAGGGGCCACAGAGGACTGCGGTGATGGGCTGCGGGTATTTTGGTGGTGGGTGTGTGTGGAAATAACATGTAGAGATCCTTTACTTCCAAGCCACAAACAACATTGTGGACCATTGTTTCCTCAATAAATAAAATTAAAAAAAAAAATAGAGAATTGGAATATAAGGGTACAAACACATAATTTGGCATCCACTATTATCTGAACAACTTCTCTCCCAACTCCTAGCTGTGTGACCCATGGAGGCCACGCAACCTCTTTGTGCTGTTTTTCCTCATTGGTAACCTGGGCTAATGGTGCCAGTGAATTTGTGCATATAAAGAATTAAATACAGTGCTTGACCATGAGCACATTAGTCAGTTATTCATATTAAGAATCTGTACTGGAAGCTGGAAACTTTCCAAGGTGTTTCATTATTCCTAAGGATCCTCTGGAAACAGCTCACTGTCAGACTTGATGTGTCTTTGATGCTCATGGGGACTTTACTTTCTCTACTCTAGTCTCCCTTGAGAATGTTTTACTGGATGTCAAGGAGCTCCAACGGGGCATGGACTTGACCAAGAGGGAGTACACCATGCATGACCACAACACACTGTTAAAAGAGTTCATCCTCAACAATGAGGGGAAGCTGAAGAAGCTGCAGGATGATGCCAAGATTGCACAGGTATGCTCTGTGCCCCTTGACACCCAGGGCGAGGAGATGATTGGATCTCCAAAGGCTGCTGGGGTGCTGGTGCTGGCTTTGGGGGAAAGTTGCCCTTTGTCTGATGAAGTTAGGGTCCTGCTATAGCACATGGTTATTGCAGGGGATCTTCCTGAATATTGTATGTGGGAGGCTTCTGCCTGCTCGTTGTCCTCTTCTAACGTGAGGTCTTCCCTGTCTTCTCTGGAGGCCCTCCTACCCCTCTCCACTCCACTCCACTCCTCACTGTCCTCTTTGGGAGTCTGGTATTTGATTCAGTTAGGCCTGTGTTCTGCACGCAGTGTTTCTGGTGAATTGGGTTTCTGCAGGCCTTGACCTTAACTTCTCATACTGTACCAGAGGTCAGGTTTACGTACTTGCACAGAGCTGGGGTAGCCTGCATGCAATCACAGAAAAGAGGGACCAGTGATGTGGGGATTTAAGAGTAGATGTGATGGATTGGGTCCCATTTGAGGTTGGCTGTCTTGTGTTACAGAAAAGTTCAAGCTGAGACCCGAGTGTCCTCAGTGTGGGGCTATTGGAAGGAGCATTGTTGCAATGAGTTGAGATTTGGAGTCTAAAGCTATTTTTTTTTTAAAGATTTATTTATTTATGTATGTATTTATACCGTCAAGCACTGGGTACAGTCAGAAGTGCGGGAGGGTGAGAGAATTCACCAGAGCCAGAGCGGGGAGCAGAGCAGGCAGAGGGACCGAGGTGCACTGCTGAGGGGAGCAGCGGGCGGCAGGAGAGGTCTGCGCGCCATGTGGGACCCTCCTCCAGTGGCCGGGGAGCAGCCAGGGATCGAACCGGCGCTGCAGAGGCTGCGGGCAGCTTCGCAACCCACCGCTCAACCGCTGCTCCACCAGGGAGGCCCCTGGAGTCTAAAGCTATTTAAGATCCCTTTTGACCTTACTGGTTTGAAAGAATTCTGTCACTACCCTAGGAAGCTCTTGAAGGGCGAGTGTGTACCTGTGTCTGTGTGGGAGTGACAGGAGGTCCCTGCAGTGCCACTGCATTCTTCTGATTGCCTCTGAGCACCGGGAGAGAGCATGGAGGCTGCAGAGTTGAGGGGAGGGGAGGAGGACCAAGGTGTGAGAGCTGCTGTGTTATCACTGCTGCTTTGCTGCAGCTCTTCCCCCAGAGCCTCAAGTTCAAGTGCTGAAACTAATGAAATTCAAGAGAAATATGCTTCCTCACAGGACGCCTTTGATGATGTTGTGAAGTATTTTGGAGAAAACCCCAAGACGACACCGCCCTCTGTCTTCTTTCCTGTCTTTGTCCGCTTTGTGAAAGCCTACAAGGTAAACGGGAGCGTTATATCCTTGGTGCCTTCCTTGACGTTTCTCATGTGTGCCTTCCTCGAGCCACTCTGCAGAGGCCTCCCCGTTCCCTTGGGCAGTGCGGTCAGTATCTGACCTTGCCAAGTCCCTTAGCTCATGACGCTCCCATCTCCACTGGGCCACCTTGGGGACTCAGCGCCAGGACCTTCCCCTTGAGGAAGTGAGATGCTCAAAGACAGATGCTGCCCCCCTGACTGCCTTGGCAGGCGGGTGGACTTAGGAAATCCAGGCCTCCCAAGGGATTGTTGAACCTGTAAAAGGAGTGAACCCTGCCAGTGACTCCCTGGGATGTCACCGAGGTCAGGCCGAGCCTGCTTATATTAGTCCTGGTCCAGGGCTGCAGGTTGTTTGGATCAACATTTCTCCAGTGTGGGCTCAAGATGGTGCTGGTAAGGAAGGTTGCCCTCTTTCCTCATCTGTCCAGTTATGGCTCTGCCTTTATAGGAGAGACTCTGATGTTCTCTAGGGCCCCAGTCTAGAAAAAGCATGTCACTCAAAGAGGCATGTGTCAGAAGAATTTGCCCCATCGGAGAGAATGAAGAGGGAGTTGGGGGAGAGGGATGGGTTTTAGTACACTTAGGAGACATTGCAATCTGTATCCTCCAGGCTTATCTACTAGAAATATTGATAATGTTGGAGGAACGTGGCCGGAGGGGGATATGGTGGGTCGTTTACATTTTTGAGAAACATTAATATTTGGTTACTTGTCCTGCGCCCCTGGAGGCTGGTGCTGTGGAGAACCATCCTTGGGTCTTGTACTGAAACTCAGAAGGTGGTGTAGCCATTTCACTCAGTATGATTCAGTGTAACAGTGATATCGTACGCTGTTTGCACAAGGAAAGTGTCCTTAGCTGTGAGGATGAACACAAACACGGCACAAGGCTGTGTGCAGCACACTGGGCGCTGTGGCGACAGAAGGTCTCTGGTCCCCAGCTGCACTCCGGGGCTCCTTGACTGGCAGTGCTTGTGTGCTGAAGAGATGACCCCGTGGTGTTTAAGTCTAAAGTCTAAAGAGAAAATACATGCTGTTTTTGAATTGTGTAATATAAGCTGGAAAGTGTCTCTGATTGGTGTCCACTCAGAGCACCACTTCAGCCGGGGTGCGCACAAGCAGAGGAGAGAGTGGAGGCCCTGGGTGATCTGTGGAGTGCCACCAGTCACACCTGTCAGTGTGTCCCTTCCATGTTGTCATTTCTCCCCATGGTCCTATTAGCTGGCTCTGTGAGGCGCTTGTCAGACAGGGTTGTTTTCCTTGTGACCCACAGAGATGCCAGCTGAAATTGACCTACGGACTTTGTGGGCAGATGTTTGGGTTTTAGGAGTCACCCCTCCTTTTTCTCCTCCAGTATGAACCAAATGAAAACTTGAGACAAAAGCAACAGATGAGAATGTGGACTTTGTAACTGATAAAGACCGGCTATGAGGATATATATATGGTGTATATATATATCAGTGAGTTTACACTTCAGCCCTTAATTAGATAGGTGGCTTGTCAGTTCACAGCTAGACTATTACAAGTCCCTTTAGGGAGGCTGACTTCCAAAGGGAGATGCCCAAAAGGCTGAGCTGTTCAGCTTCTCCAAAATTCATTAGACTAATGAGGATACTGCCTCCCTTGGGAAGGAATGATCTGTGGGGAGAAAGTCCAAGAGTATCTCTCTTGTGAGGCCCTTGAAGAACACTAGGAAAGAGAATGGAGGTTTTCCTTGAACAATGGGCAAAGGGAGAGAACTGTGAGATCCTACTTTTCGGAGTTGGTCATTAGAAAGACAAATTCTGGAAACAAAACAAATATGCATGAAAATCACTGAGCATAGCTGCTGGAAGTATTGGTCCTATCATCTCTGTGGGACTGAAATGCAGTTTGACTTGGAAGAGGATCACCAAAAAAAAAAAAGGACTTAAAAAGTACATTTCAACTACTGTAGTCTTGAGAAATGTGGTAAGGGCAGACAGTCAAATCCCAAGTCAGAGTTAAATACAGACATGAAGTACACATGCTTTCCATTATTCTAAGTCCTGGTGCAACAGGGAATCTCTTAGAGTGACTTTGAAGCAACTTGACTGCTGTCATTTAATACTGACAAAATCTTTTGATTCTTTTGGTTTTATCTAGCAAGCAGAAGAGGAAAATGAGCTGAGGAAAAAGCAGGAACAAGCTCTCATGGAAAAACTCCTGGAGCAGGAAGCACTGATGGAGCAACAGGATCCAAAGGTGAGAAGTGCCAGCCATGCTCCTGGGGTGGCCCTCTTGTGAGGGGAGGCCATGATGGCTCCTCAGAGACATTCAGGGTGAATAGGCAAAAAGCCAGATTTGCACAGAGCCCTACCATTTCCTTCCAGCACTTGGAAACTTGGCAAATGGAAATGTGTTCATTCATTACTTTGTTCAGCATCCAGTTAAATGAGGCTAAGCGTATATTTGTGTAGCATTTCCAGGTTTATAGTGATATGGAGCTTAAGTCTTAGTTATGTGTAAACAGAGACCCCCATACCAGGGTCACCTGGTAATTGGAGGTGTCCCAAGAAGGCTTAAAGGGGACACCATTGGTGCTGGCCTTGATAGCCAGAGGTTTCGCTGGGATCAAGAGTGGCATTTCCAAATCAAAACCACAATGAGATACCACCTTACATCAGTGAGAATGGCACATATTAAAAAAAAAAACAACAAACAAACTGGCAACAATGAATGCTGGCAAGGATGTAGAGAAAAATGAACTCCCCTACATAGCTAGTGGGAGTGCAAACTGGCCCAATCACTGTGGGAAGCTGTGTGGAATGGAGCAACCATATGACCCAGCCATTCCACTCCCAGGAATCTACCCAAAGGACACAAAAACATTAATTCAAATGGAAACCTGCGCACCTATGTTTACTGCAGCACTATTTACAACAGGTAAGATACAGAAACAACCAAAGGGCCCCCAAATAGAGGAGTGGGTCAAGAAGATGTGGTACATATACACAATGGAATACCATTCTGCAATCCAAAAAGATAAACTCATGCCACTTGCAGCAACATGGAGCTGGAAGGGATCATGCTCAGTGAAATAAGCCAGGAGGAGAAAGGAAAGTACCGAATGTTTTTACTTATAGGAGGAATATAGGGGAACTAGATAAGGGATCAGGGGGAAAAAGACAAAACTAGCAGGCAACTATAAATCAGACACGTTCAGCAGGGGAGGGCTGGGTGAGGGGTTAAACGGGTGGGAAGAGCACAAGAGACTGTGGTGATGGTTCACGGGTGACTTGGTGGCGGGAATTCTACAGGGACTACACCTGCGAGGAGAAATCAAACATTGTACAAAAATGAACAGTATGTAAAATATATATAAATAAATACTAAAAAAAATTTAAAAGTGGCATTTCAGGGAGGGAAACATCATAAGGGAAAGAACATAAAGGCTGCCAGGTGATTCATGATGATCCTTTGTGCCACAGTTTAAGTGGATGCCTCTTGTCATAGGATCCAGCCTTGCCATTGCTGCCAGCTGGAGTTTTGTGTGTTCTTCAAATTGTTTTCTTCCTAGAAGCTTCCTGAACTTTTCTCTGTTTAAGCAGAATGTTGAGAGGGCACTCTGTGTTTCTGGCTGAGACTGCTTATCAGCAACATAATGCTCACACAGGTTTTGGATTTCTCAGACCTCCATAGGGTGCTGGTCCCATCAATCTCTGCATTTTTCTTTCTTCTAGTCTCCTTCCCACAAATCAAAGAGGCAGCAGCAAGAGTTAATTGCAGAATTAAGAAGGCGACAAGTTAAAGATAACAGACATGTATACGAAGGAAAAGATGGTGCCATTGAAGATATTATCACAGGTAAAAGATATTTCCTCATTGTGGTCGATGGAGAATGACAGGCCTGGCCCATTCTGGACTATTTGCAGATTTGGAGATTATAAACACTGCAGTTGATTTAACTCAGATCTAGTGTTACACAGAGACTCTATGCTAGTGTTTGAAGTTTATTTACTATATACTGTCTCTCAAAGAACTGAAACATTCTCTCTCTGAAAAATCCTTACTTCGTCATATCATTGGATTTCATCAGAGCTTTTTCTCCTGATGGTTTTCCATTGTCTTCAGTTTGTAACCTCATTCCAGTTTCTTCCTTTTGGCTACTCCTAATCACCTGCCTTATTAATTAAAACTCTGGACAAGACCCATTCAGGGGTATATTCTAATAATCACAGACAATGAAGATTTTCCCAGCATGCTACTTAAAATCCTCTTTACTCACGCAAAGTGACTGCAGACAATGGGAAATCAGGAACTGGTGTTTGCATTCAGATGAGCCAACAAACTCCTAACCAAGGTTTGGGAAATAGTTGTTATGTCAACTTGGAATGGTGCCTACCCCAGCTTGGTTTTTGTGTGATTGAGTTCTAGCTTAATACTTTCTGCTTGAACCAATTCTCCAGAGTTTCTGCATTCCCTCTTATAGATTAGGACAATAATTTAGGCTACTGTCTTGTGGCAGTAAGTGACTTCCCTTTCATGTCTGTTGCATTTCAATACTGTTTGTTAGCTTCCCTGGTACTTAAGTTTTTATTGTGGGAAATTTTTAAATGTGCAAAAAACAGAATAGTATAATGAGTTTCCATGTACCATTACCCATCAAAACTTGCAACTCACGGCCAATTTTGTTACCTGTCTGCTTCTACCTACTCCCCATTCCCCAACCCTTGGGATTATTTTGAAAAAAATCCAAGACATACAGTTTCATCTGGAAATATTTCAGTATGTGTCTTCAAAAAATAAGAACGCTTTAATAAAACAAACCTACCCACACTACCATTGTCACACACCTCAAAAACTAACAATTCCTTCATATGAAATATTCAGTTATTATTTACATTTCCCCAATTGTCCTAATTTTTAAAAGATCTGATTCTTAGACTTTTGATTTATTTCTTGCCAATAGCTTATCAGCATTATAAAGAGGGATCCCAAACTGTGAAAGCCACGTTTTTTTTTCCCCACAAGCTCAGACCCAGAGATCTAAGTAAATCATTAAAAAGGAAGTCAGTAAAAGTTGCTTGCACAGAGTGAAGCAGGGTAGGTTCTCAGTGGATCTGTAAATGGCTGATGAAAATGCCCATCTTGGGTCTCAGTGCTATCAAGTTGTCTCCAGCCACTGCGGCACGAGTTCAGTCCCCAGCCAGAGAGCTAACCCACAGGGTGCAGCAGTCCTCTCCTCTCTTGCTCACTGCACCCCTCAGCAGTGTATCTCAGTAGATCTGCCTGTTCTGCCCACTCTGGTGAATGTTCTCACCCCCCGCACTTCTGGCTTACCCCCCAGTTCTTGTGTACATACATAAATAAATCTTCTAAAAAAAAGCCCATCTCTACATACCATGCACATGTGCCTGCTGGTATCTCAAGGTCTATGGTGCAGTGGCTTGCACCCTGATGGCACCCTGATTAAAGCCCCTGCCATTTAGACTCTCTCTTTGGCTCCCTCACATGGAGGGAGCAGCTCTGCTCTGAGCAAGGCCAAGACCAGATCGTCTGAGTAAACAACTCTCAGCCTCAGTGCCACAAGATTAGCTTATAGGTAGAGAAACATCCCACCTTGCACATGATTAACTGAAACTTCCTTTTTCATCAGTCTCTTCTCCATCTCAGCAACACCTGGCTTATAAAATGAGCAAAACACAGTTTCTATATGCTGACCTAATTATTAATCTACCAGCAGAAGTGAATGAATATCTAGTTATGAAGCGAGCAGTTTTTATTCTCTTTGGAATATTTTCCACTTTCTACCCTACCATCTTGCCCTAGATGGATTAACAACTCTTGTAGACTTTAGGTTCTCTCTTTCCCCTTTCCTGCTTACCTCCCTTCCCCTCTTCCTCAGATTTGATTAACAGAGCACTAACCATATACTAATGCAGTAAATCTTGGCTTTTTACTTTGTTCTGTTTGTCTTGTTTGGCTGTCATTTTCGATGCAGTGCTGAAGACTGTGCCCTTTACTGCTCGCACCGCCAAGCGTGGCTCTCGATTTTTCTGCGAACCTGTTCTCACTGAGGAATACCATTACTAAACTATTACTCTTTCTCACCTGATGCTCTTAAAAGGTTGCTGGAGATTTTTTGATCTCTTATGTCCCTCTGTATGTCTGTGAGGACCACCCAATGTGATAGCATGAAATTGCCCTCTTTGTTGTGTTGTATTTTTTGTTGCCTTCACACTGCATGGTTTTACATTTCATTCATTACTGCTACTTTCAGTGTGTCTGTGAATCCATGTGCTAGCAGTGCTCTGGGTATGTGTGAGTCGAATTAATAGACTTGCAGAAATTTTCAGAAAAATAATATATATAAACACTTCTTTGAGAATAGAACTGGGACCAGGTAGGTTGCTTACAAGATTTTTGGGCTAATATCTTTGAACACAGAACGATAATTATTAATAACAACTACTACACGTAACATTTATGCACACTTACTGTGTTTTTGTAGTCCTACAGATATAAAACTAATCTTCCTTCAGAATGCAGTTAATATGCTTTGATAGTGAATGAGTTGCCACGCAAGTGCTCAGGAATGCACAGTGCTCTAAAGTTGCAGAATGATTTTCAGAAGGAACTGTGGACTGTGCACAGCAGCTATAAATTGGGTCTTTCTTAACTGACTTCCATAGCATCGTCCGTGGTGTGATGGGACTCCTGGCATAAGCTTTACACAGAGAGTCCTTTTGACCGAGAAACCTGTGTAAGCCAATATGGGCAACTTCTAGCTTTATACTCAGCTCATTCCTCTGGGTTTCATGCCTACATTCAGCTATCAGGAGTTCCAGATTGCGAGGCAGAAAGTGAAAACTAAGTCTTTAGTGTTCCCCATGGTCATAGCCCATTCATGCTTCTTTGCTGGTGCCTCTGTTCCATGTCAAACCTAGGGGTTTTCTTCTGTGATGAGATCATATCTGGACATGCTCCTTTGGTCAGGATGGTGGCAACAGAAAAAGCAATAGCATATAACTATGATGGGAAAATGCCACTGTTCTTAGAATTTAAAAAAAAAAAAAGGAATGATCAAATTGTCACAAGTAACTGCCTGAGTTTAGTTCTTGATGGCAAGGTAAGGAGCAAAGTTCTCTACAGTTGGTTGGAAAAGAAAAGGGAAGGACATACTCTACTTAAGAAATAGCCATTGTTTGACTCCCATTTTAAGGTTGACATGGAATTGGGTACATTTTTGTTTTGTGGCATTATTTTTTTATGAATTGCATTTGTTATGTATATCCTGTCTCTGAAGAGTTCAAAGGATGTGGTGTGTTGTTGCCTGCTCTGCAGTTACTTACCCGTCAGTGCTTATTAACAAGGCTAGGAACTGTCATCTACTTGGCTTATGTTTACTGTCAGTTTTGCTGCTGGACTCTCTGTTGTTCTGGAGCCAAACTTCAAAGCAGCTTGGATCTGGGTGGTCAGGGCACTGGGTGGGAAGACCCTCTTATCCTTCCCTTGTTTTATCTAACACCTCTTACAGTAATGGCCTCCCACTCTCTTCCTCTGTTGGCTAACATGCCCGGGAATGTTAAGCACTAAGTTAAATTGCTTTCCATTTTCATCCCATTTTTGCTTAACCATCATTTTGTGTTTTTTTGTTTTTTTTTCTGTTTAGCCTTAAAGAAGAATAATATCACTAAATTTCCAAATGTTCACTCGAGGGTAAGGATTTCTTCTAGCACACCGGTGGTGGAGGATACACAGAGCTGGCAAGCATCACTTTTTACTTAGCTTCCTCCTCTTTCTGTATGCAGATCAATGGTTTCAATCTATGGCTGAGGGTAATACTGGTGAGAGTCTGACCAGGGAGCAGTCTTTGAACCTCACATTCCACTGATGTGAGACTGAGTCTTGTGTTGGCCTCTTTCTGGCCAGCTTTCATGTCCTCAAGTGTGATGGCTTGGGCAAAGATATTTGATGATGGACTTGTTTTGGGTGCTAGACTGCCCTTTTTTTACCCCTTTCTTAGTCCTCAAGTTATTCAGTTAACCCCATTTTTATCTGAAAAAATTGTAAACAGATCACAGGGAACATCCTTTGAGGGGCTAGGATCTTTAGAAGTACTTACTCAGAGGACTCAGGACTGAAAGGGTTGCAGGTGACTGTATATCTTTGGCCCAAAGTGGAATTCTGACCTTTCATTACCATTCTGGGTCAAGCAGCAGAGGCTCCAGAGGATAATGGCATGCAAAACTATTCTTTGCTTGAATTTACGAAGAGTAGGGCAAGACCATAAATTCCAGTGAGTCAGGAGTTTATGAGATTGTGCTGAAACTGAAAGCATAGGTCTCAGTACTTAGCTTCACCTTGGTTTTTGACAGATAAGAATGGGGGCCCAGTATTGTTAAATCTTAGAGTTTTCAAAGATTAGTCAGAATACCTGCTTTTTGAAATGTTTGTTGCCTATTGAATTATCAGGAGACTGTATTGAGAAATATAAGCCAGAGGCCAAACTTCCTGTGGGTCAGGTATGGCTCATCAACACCATTTTTAATCTACTGATTGAAATGTTTCAGTCTAATTTAATTCTGTTGTGTTTCCCTTTATAAAGGCAGAATGTTTCCTAACAGAAGCCAACAGTACTGAGTTAATTAAAGGGAAATACATACTATTTAAGTATGAAGTCTGCTTCCCCCCGCACCCCACCCCGCACCATGCTCTGACTCCATCGAAAGTAGGCGATGCATTACTCATCAAGAAAGCATGCCTTCACACTCAGAATGCTTACATAAAATTCCCCTGGTTCATTCCATTTTATCCCACTAGAGCAATGCCTACTTGAAGTGATGGGCAGATTCATTCATTCAACAGGTCATACTTTTTTAATGTTTGATATCTTGCTATGCATTCACAGTGCAAATTGGAGAATGCAGGAACATTCATGACATACCCTTTAATGAAAAACAAAGTTATTACAATGTAGGGGAAAGTGTTTAGAAATTACTTTTACTTAGCAATTATTTTTATTTTGAGGTTTAGCATTATGTTTCTAATTCACTGAAAAAGATGACTTCAGCTAACATTGATGGAATAAAAATGGAACCAGTGTTTACAAGCTAAACTTGAGGTTCCTTCCTTGATTAAAACTTAAAGCCAAAGATAGAGCAGACCAGTTAGTTTTTTTGGTTTTGCAATTTAAAATTCATTGCAATTATTGATCAGGTTTCCAGAAAGGAAAGGAATAACTAAGCCATAGCTATTTCCAATTGGGGAACTTCTCAAAATAAGACATAAGCTAGAGTTTCTGGCCAGTGAATATCCTTTCTTATATATTTTTCTGTAAGCCCCAGAAACCCACCAGTATTACGTCTTGTTTTGTTTGACTGTAACTATTAAGGGCAAAGTACATGTCTTTGGCTCAAATACTCAATTAATTTAAACGGCCCAATTAGCTGATTCTTCTCCACAAGCTGCTTTGATTGGCTGCCAGCTGGCCTTTGTCTTGCTTAGACACATAATATTAAAGCTTGCAATTTGCTCACTGGTGCTCTCCTCTTTACAGATCTTAGAAACCAACCATACAGACGAGCCGATGCGGTGAGGAGAAGTGTCAGGCGGCGCTTTGATGATCAGAACTTGCGTTCTGTCAATGGTGCCGAAATAACCATGTGAACCCAAGACCTGCCTGTATGAAGAGGGTGTTCGTGAATGAAACTGTCCACATAAACTTTATGTGCTACCATTTAACTGCAGCCTTGAACATAGATAAAATATTCAAAGGGCTCAGATTTAGCAAACACATAGGAATTTAAAAATGATGGGCTCTCCTTTCAACCTTTGTTAACAAGTGCCTAAAAGTGGAAGTACCTGCTCAGATTAATCAAAGCAATAGGATTTGATTTGATTAGGTATCTTTTTACACCAGTATGTTATTCAATTTTTTAACCAAAATGTAAATTTCATATTCCATTCATTACTTGCCATTGTGAACGTCCCATGATGCCCACCCTCATTTCTTGGTAAGTTGTAAATAACATGGGTGCATCTGCTGTTGGCTTTCTTTGCTGAAATGTCTTAACTGATTAATTTTGGGTTTCAGCCATATATATCAAGGTAGTATCTTTAAGGGCTTGCAACATGGAAGGAAAAAATTACACGATAAACTTCCTTTGTCAATAACCAAGCCCCCAGCAAAGTCCAAACAGGATGCAATTGCAGTGGCAAGAAGTCACTCAAGTCTGTCTTGTATCACATTCTGCTACTTCTCGGGTAGGGTATGATGCCCTGTGAGACATTCACAGTAACAATGCAAGGATATGATGGCATACAACTGTGTAAGACTTATTTGCAGTACTGTGTTCTTCAGCTAGAGGCAGCTTTAAAAAATAATGCAAATGTATTTATTAATTAGCACTAAAATTAACATCTCAGTAATCAGTACTAGGATTTCTGAGGACCATTATGGGTCAGTTCTGAGAATAGAAACTGGTGCCTTGCTAGCCAGGGAGAAGTTCACTTGCTCTATCAAGCATTCAAGATTATTTCTGCTAGCACAGTAGTGTTAGTTACCTGGCCTTATTCTCCTCTGACAATCGCAGGGTTCTTGCCTCCTCCCCGCTTATTTTTTCCTTTTGTAAATCGGCATTCAAAGCTAAGAAGTTCACGTATTTCCCAGTTTACTTCGTGGGAATTGCAATTAAATTGATGAAGTTTTGGAGTTAAGCTTAAATGGTATGTAATGGAACTAAATGGCCAACTAAGCCATTGTAATTTTTCCTTCATCTCTGGCAGGGCACTTGATCCATTCCAAAGTCAAAAACTGGACTGAAGCTAATTTGTACTTTTCATAACACATTCTGCTTCTGGCTTATCTTCTCGGTACATTACATCAATATGTTAATTGTAAAGTTTTATTGTATAGTATTTAACCACTGAATTTCTTTTATGTTGTGCTTATGTGAACTCCTTGGTGAAGGTCCCATTTTCCTTGGATAATGTGTAGTTATATGAGCTCTTTTTAAATGTACAGATATTTTGCTATAAAATTGGTGCAGTTTTTTATGGTTTTTACACTTCTCCTTAATTCCTACCTAAGTCTCTGGGTAATATTGTAAATATTGTTTAAAAATGCATCAGCCTATGCTATACAATCTGAATGTTATTTTAACTTATAGTTTTTTTTTTTTTAATATATATTTAACTACAAGGGCAGTTTAGGGATCAGTTACATTTCACTTTAGCATACTTATTTACAGAAATACTTTAAAACTGCCACCTGTGAGCACATTTTCATAAATGTGTCCTTTAAAAAAGAACATGCCAAGATTTTGTCTTTCTGTTGACTGTTCATTTTGATGAAGAAATAAATTTGACCATGATACAACACAAATGGTTGGTCCTTTACTATAAGCAGCTGCTTTCCAAAGCTCATTATTATTGAGCATATTAAAATAATTGCCTATTTATTAATCTACAAATAGACAATAATGTTGGCATGTTCTTTTCTGTTTGTCTATTAATGGTCCTGCTTCTTAGCAATATTAGAAATGTTTTATAAAAGCAGTTCATGTTACTTTTCTGGTCTTTTCATGGCATATGAGCAAATAAACTATTTACTACCCTCCTGTAATATACTGTTGTCTTTCAATGGTAGGCTTTAGCAGTTTAATATATACTTTTTATCTTCTAGAAACAGATGTTTTGCTACTTGAATTCAGAATCTATTTGTGGTAAGTTTTAAGAAAAATCCCTGCCTATAGAAATTCTTGATTACTTGCTATATGGAATGTGTGAACCAAATAGATTTTGATACTGAAACATACAGCTTCAAAATTTTACTTAAAATGTTTCCATAGAAGTAGTACCCTTCTTCTCTGGTTCCCCTAACCCTCCATTTTAAGAAAAGATGTGTATGTACAGATAGGACATGTGTGGACTGCATGGAGATTAACTTTGTACCTTTCACAACCACGTTTTGGCAAGCAGTTTGGCTCTCATTGCTGTGGTATTTGTAGTAGCTCCAAGTCATCAGAAAAGGTTATGTGCAACATTAGTATACTCTTTCTAAGGGAACAAAGAGATTTTTGACTTTAGAAAATGTCCAAGTAGCTTAGAAACACTAAGAGGAATATAAACTTAGTCATTTAAGGAATTATTGCATTAGGTCTTTGTTCCCTATTTAATATTTTTTCCCACTGTAATGGGGTTATATAGTGCAGTTAAAGCTTTATTATAAATGGGCACATTAATGGGAACATTTAGTAATAATCTCCAGTTTTTTAATGCCAGGAAAAGTGCCTCATGGTGGAAGAAATAAAGATCTCAAATATTCCATAATTTCAGAGTATTTTCAAACGCAAAACTGCAACTATAAACTCAGATGAGACAGATGTTATGTTTTGGACCTTGTATAACAGAAGTGTCCATTTTTTAAAGATGGTTACTAATGACTCAGAATTGAATTCTCTTGTCCCCCACTCCCATTCATTCAATTAAAAATGTAAACTCGGGGGCCTCCCTGGCGGTGCAGGGGTTAAAGTTTCAGCACTATCAAGCTATTGCAAGCCACTGCAGTATGAGTTCAATCCCCAGCCAGGGAGCTAACCCTCATAGTGCAGCAGACCTCTCCTTTCTCGCCTGCTGCTGCCCTCAGCAGTGTATTTCAGTAGATCTGCCTGTTCTGCTTTCCACTCTGTCTGGTGAATCTTCTCACCCCCTACACTTCCGGCCTACACCCCAGTTTTTGTATACTTAAATAAAAATAAATCTTAAAAAAAAAAAAAAAAAAGTAAACTCAGACCCATTAGAATTCCCTGCAATGAGATTCAAAGTCTAGAGACCCTATTAATCCAACAATGTTCGGCACAAAATGAGATTTGCTGGCCATCAGTAACTCTACTTGTTTAATGTATTAGAATTATCTAATTTTACAGTGGAAGATCACACCTTTTTAAATGAGCTTTAGAGTTCATGTACATTATTTTTTTCCTACATATTTTAAAAATTTGACCAACAGCTTTGTTAAAAGGTGAGGAAGTCAAGCCCCCATCTTTTTACTGTCATGGCAGTGTCAACCTCAGACTCAGGACATCTGGGTGTCTGGTAGACTAAGAACTTTCACCTACTTTATTATTTGATAAAAACTAAGAATTTTTTTTTCTTAGTTCCAGTTTCATAATTTTTATTAGAAATATCTGCAAAGGCGAATATACTAGCAAGCCAAGTTTGTACAAAAGGGTTCTTAATCTGTTAACTTTCCATCTCTTTGTAAACTAATACCCCACTATTTATTCCTCAAAATTGAAGAAACAAAGGAAGGAGTGTTGATACTTTCTTGGCTCTAACTTTTATAGCCAAAAGCAAGTAATTGTACTGAGAAAACAATAGGGGCAGATAGCATCTCATCAGAGAACTGCATATAAGAAATGTATAAAGTAAAAAGCTGACACAATTCCACCTTATGCAGTAAAAGATGCCACTTTTTCTAATAAATTGTTTATTTACAAAAGGTCTAATTTTATACGAGGTTCTTTACATCAGAACAATATATTAAACAGAAGAGAAGACATGGTAGTTACAAACACAAAAAATAGAAATCTTGTTCCCCCTATTACTCACCTTTCAGAACAAATCTTGAGTTTAGTTGTAGAGGTAGGCAAGGGAACAACAGCTACCAAAAAAGTTTGCAGGCAGAACTAAAAAAAAGATGTTTATAAATAGCAATTTAGATATCCCAAGGAATAGCATAGAAGAATGGCTTAGTTTGAATCTGATCTAATTAGGCAGCCAGTCTGTTTCATATTTTGATTGAAAATTAGGGTGAGATGTAGAAGAGGAGTTACTCAGTTCCCTGAAATGCAAGCATCAATATTCTGCCTCGGGCAATTACCATCAAATTAAGTCATTCACCAATCATAAGCAATGAGTGGCCTTGACTAGTTCCTATTGAGTCACAAAAGCAGTTATGGACAGTTTGCTGCAATTAAGTTTACGCCAGGTAGGAAATGAAATAAAACGGTGGGCTAGGGGGAGTGTGTGGATAATCTGTGCCACATCTTTTCACTTCTCATCTCAACATCAAGTCTGTTCCAGTAACATTTAAGTGCCTGCCATGTCACTATTACGCAGGCTTTTTTCAAAAATTGCCTGAAATAATTAGTTCTAAGCTTAAAATTTCAGTAGGTATTTAGCTATTTACAACAACCAAGTTATGGGAACCACCTATGTCCAAGAACAGATCAGTGTATAAAGAAAATATGGTATATATTCACAATGGACTACCACTCAGACGAAATCTGGTCATTTGTAACAACTTCAATGGGACTAGAGGGATCGTGCTAGTAAAATAAGGAGCAAGGCAAATTCTGGATGATTTCATTCATGTGGATATCAAGAAATGAACAGATAAAACTAAACTAAAGCAAACGAGAAATCTGACAAAACATGCTACCAGAGGGGAAGGGAAGGAAGGAGGGAGGGGGACCAATCAATGGATGATGGAAGATTTTGACTACTGTTGGTGGTTGATGTGATGTGGTAACAGTTCTGAAGAGGTATGAACCTATAACCCTAAATCATATAGAGTACTATAAACTGATGCTACCCAGAATTTTTTTTTTAATTTTGTGTCTTCTAATAAACAAAAGAATTTGATCATTTTTTATTCCTGGCTTTGTAAAAGCTGCAGTTGTAAAAATTGCAGTTGTTTTATCTCCACGATTTTAAAAAAAGTTAAATAAAAAAATGTACTTATTTTGTTATTGTGACCACTAGGACCTCTAGTGTAACACTAAACTATGGTACATTAATTTATGAATGCAATGTGAGAAAGGTATGTCCCATATTACCACAAGGGGTTTCCTTTCAATTCAAAAACCACTTGGAGTTTGCACGTCTCATTAACAAGCTTCTGGGTATTTCTGAGGTTAACAAGTTAAGGCGAGTGGCAGTAACTAAACCTTAATTGTACTTCAGTTATGTATGTAGCTTTAGTTTGGGATTAGAATGGTTATTCCAATGATGCTTTTACAAGCTCTTTAATACAGATGGTGTGTACCATGATGGATGCTGGATGATTATGTCTATCAACTAATATTTTACATTCAGTAAATGCCTAGTATGGTGCCAGGCACTATTCTAATCCTCAGGATATGGAAGTGAATGAAACAAAAATCTCTGCCCCCAAGGAATTAGACCATCATTTAAGTAACAACAAATGAAAAGCTTAAGAGCAAAGTAAGACTAAGGAAGGTAAGAATTATTTTATGGCATATACCATTACCATAATCAGAGAATGAGATTATAAGTCTATTATCATAAGCTTATTAGAACATATAGTTAGTGAAAATGACCAAAGATTTTATTTTGCTTTGTCTTTACGAAATAAGTGCAGTTTTACTAGAGAATGAGAATTAAAATTTGACTTTGTATTGAGAGAGATACAACCCCAAGGGAAAAGAAAATCTTAAAATGGAATTAATGTGCTCTGCCTCATTTTGCTTTTATAAATATTTATTCAGTTCTTAGTTTTGTAATTTACATTTAAATTACAGAATGTAATTAAATATCCTATAAACTTTAAAAGCATTCCTCATTCTTCCCTGGGTATTGTTTGGTTAGAAACTGTTTTCTCTCTCAAATAGCATCTAAGTTGAGTATACAGTCTCTTTACTCAACTATTATCAATTAAGACTGCCTTACTCCAGGCTAATCATTTTCATTTTATAGTTGGACAAATGAGCAAACCAAAAGATGAAATAGCTGTTGGTACTTGATTATTATTGACTTTACTAGGAGGTTAAAAAAAACTGATTAGTGAAAAAGATGAAGTAACCTGTACATTAAAGCTACTTTGGGTAATGAAATGCTGTCAACTATGCTAAAAATTGTGGGGACAATGCTTTTTGAAAAAACATTGTTATATAAATACACGTAGGGAAAATGCACACAAATTAACTGAATTTTTAATACAAATTCACTTTTTCCACAAAGGAATTGTGGATTGGGAGAAAATAAAACCATCAAATATATGAGATCTCGATTCTGACTATTAAGTATGATATGAAATGTATCAGTGAGTTTAAGCCAATAATATGATACTGAGAGGAAGAGAAATGCAACATTTACCTAAGTGTCCAAAGCTTAATTGGAAATTATAAATATTCCTTATCTGAAAACAAACATGCTTTCCTATTTGAACACTTTTGTTCAAATTCCTGTTTGAACATATCTACTCAATTCTAATAGAACTAATATATCAAGATATTTCACCTTTTCCCAGCTGAAAATTTAGAAACCAAATGTAACAGGTTAACAATAGTCATACAAAAACTCTTGCTTTAATAGAATCTTTCCAACACCTGTGCCTTCAGATCATACAGTATCTATCTAGCAACTAGCAATTCCCATTTGGTAAGATCAAAGGTAGACAAGGATTACAAACATTTCAAGACATCTTTTAAACCAAGATGTTCTGGTGTGAGTTGCAGTTTGTTCAGTTTTAAATTGTTTATAATAGGCCAAATAATTTTCACGGGGTAACTATAAGGTAATCTGAATTTGTATTGTCTTCTATGGGGTGATTTGAGGTTGTGATAAGACAATTATCTCTATAATAAATACAGAAATCTATTGTAAGGACATGCTAAAACACATCAATAGCTTTTTATTTAAATAGAAAATCAAAACTTTAAAGTTGTACTTAAAAAAAATCATTCATGGAAGTTATTAAAACAAAATTTTACAGTCTGAATTCTCCTGTGAAACATCACTAGTATTTCTGCTGATCAATATCATATGCATATTTTAAAGATTTTTTTACCACTGACTTCCATGTCAAGTGTTTAACATGATTAGCAATATAATTACTACCATTACAACGGGACCTCTGAAAATTAAGTCTAGGCAACTCCTTGTTGCCAAAGTTGTTATGTTTTGGTTCTAATATACAATAGAAGACTAACCTCAAGCAAGCAACCTGATTACTTCACATTTTCTAAAGATAGTGAGTCTCATTTTCTACAAACTCATGTCTTATTTCACAGCAGAAAAATGACTTGGCAGAGACAAGTTTAGAAACAATCCCGAGACTTTCAACAATAGATGATAGATTTAATTGAAACATAGGAAGGCAGGGTGGGAAAGAACTATCCTGGTCAGTAGTCCCACTTTCAAATTCATTCGGATGGTGAAGGAAAAAGAAAACGAACTTTTTGTTCTAATAATTCCCAACTTGAAATAGGATTGCCCCAAGTGTGCAAAATGGGGGGAAAAACACAAAAAACAAAAACCCCAAGATATTACCAAAGACTGCTAAAATTTACTTACTTAAAAAAATCTCCTGCACTGAAGGAAAATATTATAAATTACATTACTAACTTTCAAAAGTTAGCATGTAAAGAGTATTCTAGCTTCCAACCATTGCTTCTCTAAAGTATTCTGTAGGAAATTCACAGACCAAAAACAAATACGGGGCCTCAAGTGCATTGATTTGTGAAATTCTTAAATATTAAAAAAGGAAAAGTAACCTAGTTATGTGGGTAAGATGAAGCAAAATTTAGGTTAGTTTCTTTAAATGATGATACAATATTTTTGAGCTGAGCATTTTAAATAGAAATAAATACTAGTACACGCTAGAAGAGAAGGTTTAATAATCGATAAAAATGTACAAAAATATTCAAATCAGAAATGCTTTAGAATGTGTACCACGAAGTCAATGCTTCTCAATGAATAGGGAAGGTAAAAGACTTCCTCAATGGAGAAAAAAAAAAAAAAGCAAGAGAAAGATTGGATTAAAAAAAGACAACTGTTAAAGAAAATGTTTAAGTCAACATTGATTTTTGTTTTTAGACAAGGATATTGCAACTATCACTTAAAGTTTGGTGGCACATTCTTTAGTAGGTCCTTAAGGCAATATATTTAAAGTAATTTACAATTTGATTTGATGTTAACTTTTTAAACATCACCTCAAAATAATGCCCTCACAATAGCCTTTTTAAAATGTATTCAGATGTTTCATAAAAAATAATGGTGGCTTTATTATAGTAGTGCTCATTAGCACTACTATAGTTAAGGGTCTACCAGGTTTCCATTAAGAACACCTATTTCTGAGTTCACCATAAAAGATCATATTGGCTTTAACCAGTTGGGTAGTGCACAAAAAAGCAGTTTTGTCAGTTGCTGGTGCTTTTTTTGTACTACTAGTTATCAAAATTTTTTCATTATATCATCAAAATCCAACTTCTATAAAGTAAATCAAATCACCTAATGACTTAGACTTTAGAACAAAGTAGAGACATCTGCAGTTATCAATAAATTGCCACCTTTAATCCATCCTGCAGTGCCCTATGAAAGGGTCACAGAAAGACAGTTATGACCATATGAAAATATGATTCTTGATACAGAATCAAATGTTATTTTCAATTTCCTTTGCTTTTATAAAGTCCACAATAACAATACTTAAATGCACTTTTCTCCCTGTGATATAATTAAAACCCAGTGTCATTTCAATTGAACTTAAAATAGAGTCCCTGGTCTGAATTAGACTTTAAATCATACTGTAAACATATTTGGTATAATTTATTGATCATCATCCAGTTGCTCCAAAAGGGTCCTTCTGCGCTTTTCCAATTCGCCTTCACTCAGTTCACTGCCAGAAGTATCCCAATTACCCTGAAAAGACATTGAATATAATTATATGTGATGTTACTACTCAAAAGATTAAGTAGTAACGAGCCTTTGGAAAAAAGAATCTAAAATCTATCTGGATTTGGATTCTCACCCACAGAAACCCCCTCTTCCAAAAGCTTATCAATGATTAGCATTGCTAAGTCATACTAGGGGAGAGTTTTTACAAGATGCTACTAAATGGAGAATGGCATACACACCAGTTTCTTTTCATTCTTCTAATATAACTGAATGTGAAATCTTTCTCCATCTAATGGAAGTTGATTGCATAGGATCTGTATTTCTTGCTAATTTTGCAAAGATTATATGTTGTCCTACGTTTTATATTACAGAAAAGTTAAGGTTTAAGCATACTATATTCAAATAAGCGTACAATATTTATGAACAGGATAACACTTAGAATAAAAATTCAAATACTCTCCACCAAGGATGTGCATCAGAGTTAGCAGTGATGCACTGTGTCACTGCATCAGAGAATCCAAAGGAAGGACTAACAAGGCTTAGCAAAAATTGCCAGTGGTAATTCAGTGGCCACTTTGTTGCTAAGCCCAAAGCATTTGGAAGAAATGGCAATGCTAGGAGAACACTGTATTAAATGTGCTCTGTCATTTAGTCATGTGTCCTTTAATGATGGACTACAGTCTGAGAAAGGCATGGCACATAGCATGCTTTGCATCCTGGCTGTTAAAATAGCCTATGGAGGGCCCCCCTGGTGGTGCAAGGGTTAAGATGCAACCTATGAAGTTATCTGCAGCCACTGCAGCATGAGTTTGATCCCCGGCCAGGGAGCTACCCACATGGCGCAACAGACTTCTCCTGTCTCGCCCGCTGCTTCCCTCAGCAGTGTATTTCAGTTGATCTGCCTGTTCTGCTCCCCATTCTGTCTCTGGTGAGTCCTCTCACCCCCCACACTTCTGGCCTGTACCCCAGTTCTTGTATGCATAAATAAGTAAATCTTTAAAATAAAAATAGCCTATGGGACCACCATCTTATAGGTAGTATGACACTAACCTCAATATTGGTAAGAGATGCATGATTGTATACACACATATGAAGGGGAAAAAAGGACTAATTATGTAATTTTTATTGAACTTTGACTTTGTTTAGCCCTACAAATTTGCCCTTACTTCTTCCCATCAATGATTATTTTTAAGTTACTAGACTGTTACTTTTTGAAGTTGGGCTTAGTATCCAAAAATTAAAAGAAAATAAACACTAAAAAAAGAGGACTGGATTTAATAATAATGACAACTGTGGCTATCTGGGGGGAGAACCCCAGGTTAGTATCTTAAATTTCATATTTCTCAAAATATTCAGTTGCACGTCTTAAGATTATGCAAAGCAGAAGACCATATCCTTTCTTAGGGGGTTAAAGTATCGTTACAGAATGCTATGGTGTTTTAAAGAAATACAAAATCAAGGATATTCAAAGCAGAGGTCATTCATGACTACATATATTAGAAAAATTATTTTCTGTGAGATATAGCTGATTTTCACTGTTTTCATCAGTGGTAATAAACCTGAAAACTTTTTTTTTTTTTAAAGATTTATTTATTTATGCATACAAGAGCTGGGGCTCAGGCCAGAGATGCAGGGGGTGAGAGGATTCACCAGCGACAAGAGTGGGGAACAGAACAGGCACACTAACTGAAATACACTGCTGAGGGGAGCAGCGGGCAAGACAGGAGAGATCTATTTCGCCATGTGGGTTGCTCCCTGGTGGGCCAGGGATCGAACTCATGCTGCGAGGCTTCAGATTGCTTCATAGTGCAGTGCCTAACTCCTTGCGCCACCAGGAAGGCCCAAAAAGTCTATTCTTTAACACTATCACATTTAACCACAGTATATCCATTTCTATATTTTCAAAATTTTAAATACTTACAGAATCCTTTCCAGTCTTTTTCTTGGGCGATTTGTGCTTTGATTCTGATCTCTGTCTAGTTCTTTCTTTTTCGCTTTCCCGGTCTTTTTCTTTTTTATCCTTTTCTCGTTCAGCATCTGACTCTGGAGAGTCCTATGTAAATAAAAAATAACATGTCAGCATTTTGATAAAGATACCACTCTATTTGTAAAATCCTTACCTAGGTAATATTTAAGAACACCTATGTATCAGGGTATGTGCTCCTAGAGTGATAAAATTTGTGTTAAACTTCAAGGATTCTAGGACATTTCCTAGATTCATGGGTTAAGACTGGAATTAAAATTGGATCATATTTATTATGTTAAATGTAATAATATGTAGGGCCTCCCCGGTGGCGCAGCGGTTGAGCGCTGGGTTGCGAAGCTGCCCGCAGCCTCTGCAGCGCCGGTTCAATACCCGGCTGCTCCCCGGCCACCGGAGGAGGGTCCCGCATGGCGCGCAGACCTCTCCTGCCGCCCGCTGCTCCCCTCAGCAGTGTACTTCGGTCCTTCCGCCTGCTCTACTCCCTGCTCTGGCTCTGGTGAATTCTCTCACCCTCCCGCGCTTCTGACTGTATCCAGTGCTTGTATCAATCAATCAATCAATCTTGTATAAATAAATAAATAAATAAATCTTTAAAAAAAGTAATAATATGTAAATGTAAACTTTTTTCCCACTAACCCAATAAAATAGTTTTGACATTTATATATATATATATATATAGAGAGAGAGAGAGAGAGAGAGAGAGACAGATGCTGCAATTAGCTTAATCATTCCATCAATAGTTTGTAAGTAAAATTCTTTCTTCAAACTGCTGACATTTAAGGCATTCTCAGGGCCTAAGTGGTCATTCATTGGATATTCACAAATTCAAATGAAAAACTAAATCTCATTCAACAGGTCTGTGGTAACACCTAGGCCCTCAATTTTGAAAAAGTTCCTTATGTGATTCTAAGATTAAAAAGTAGAGGAAGGAATTGTTTAAATATTTAGACTTGTTCTTAATAATACTGCAGTACATACCTATAAACACACTGGCTTTAAAATGAGACATCTTAGAGAAAAAGCCTGAGTTAATATCTTAACACTATGGTTTGTTTTTTCAAAACTCACTAAAAGACTAATGGAACATTAGGTGAAGAACTAATATAAAATTTGAGTTTACAACACCTGAATCTAGTCCATGGACTACAAAACTAAGGACAAAAGCCTAGGTGCTGTGTGAAAATTAAAAGTTGACTTACAGATTTATGTCTCCTCTTCTTGCTTTTTTTCTTATGTTTTTTTGACTTCTTATAACTTCTCTCTAAGCAGCATGAAAAACAAAAGTGTCAGAATTTAAGGACATCCAACGATCAATAATTTTAATCAAGTAGTAGATATGCTTACCAGACTCGGCACTAGAAGAATGTTCTGAAGCAGAACGAGACTCTGATCGCTGTCTCTTCTTCTTTGAATGGCTGTCGTCATCATCTGAATCTGACCCCTAAATAGTAATAATAATTTCTTTCACAATGATGCTAACAAATATGTTAATATACTTAAGGTACCATGTAATAAACTTCCTTACTGATCGAGAGCGGGAACGTTTCCTGTGGTGTTTTTTAGACTTTTTAGAGTGTTTCTTGTTCTTTGAATGATGATGCTGACATTCATGCTGCAAGGGCAAAAGAAAAAAAAAATCAAAAGTTACCTTTAAACAGCAGGCCCTACATTCATTTATTTAGACAGCTAAACACAACAATGTTAAGAAATATTAAAGACAATGGTTTTATAGGAATGAGAATGGTATGGGTTAGTAGGGAGAATTCATATACTGCAAAGCATAATCTGCACAACAGTCATCACTGCTTTCAAAAACAATGGAAATACAATTATAGCCACAAATAGTCTTTCTCTGTTTAATCTAGCCTTAGTGGGTTAGTCTCGGTATCAAGACAGAACTACCTCAAAGTCATCCCTGAAGTTAATTAAATAAGGTTGTTTATGTGTAAGGTTTAAGTATGTGCAAAATCTTCCTCTTTTTTGCCCAAAGACATTTCCTTCTTAGATTATCTTTGAATGTCTTAAGTCAGATGCTAATTTTTCTGCTTTTTTACTTCAAGGTCCAGATACTTGAAGTCCAAAACATTCCAGTGTGTTCAGCCCTTCCCTATGCCACCATCCTTAGCTCCATTTATGACTTCATGAAGATGAAAGAATCTGGGAGATTCTTGAATTGTGAAAGATAGGGAAAAGACATTACTAGAGCTGGGCTTCTCAAATGTACATTCTCGAGCTAAAGAACCTTATTAAAACACTGATTCCAATGCAGGATTTCTGCTGATAATGCCTGCCTTTACATTTCTAATAAGCATCCAGGTAATGCAGATGCTGCTCACCTGAAACACACTTGAATATAAAAGATCTAGAGCAAGCTAGGAAATAACAAAGGGTGACAGAAGAAACTACTGTCAAAATTGACATTCGTCAAGCACAATAATTGCAAACTAGTGACCTTCTATGCCCAATTACCATGAAAAACTATAATGCCAGCTTTCAGCTTGCTGGAGTTTATCTACAACTGGCAAAATCAGCGTATCTCTTAAAGCTTGTTTGATAATTGAGTCAGATGGTTTGGGTTGGAATCGCTCTCTTGCAAATTACTGTCTCATTTTGTTCACCTGTAACTTCACAGGGTTACTGTGAGGACTGTATTCATGTGTAATACATAAAATAATTATAACAGCGCCTAGCCCACAAAGGCACCAAAAATTGTTATCCAATTGGTCAACTTAGCATATTTACTGTACAAGTGCCTACCTGAAATCTTCCAAAACCACTCTTCAACTAATGAACTAATATGCAATTTAATCACTATTAAACAGAAATGTACTACTTATTCCATTATTTTTCACAAACACCTAATGTACTGTAACACAGAAATTTAAAAGCTGTGTTTTCTATTTTACAAGATTTTAAGTTGACTACAGTAGAAAGTGTGTAGTAGCTAGACTGCTAAATTCTGAACATTCTAAAATATGAATATAGTCTCCATAAATCTTTACATTCCTATGCAATTTTAGTTTGTTTCACAATTTCTACTGAAAAAAATCATTCTATAATCATCCCAGGGAAGTACATTTTCTACAAAAACAGTATGATTTAAGAAACTTCCATCATACTAAATCCTTTAATTTTTTTTTATATATTTATATTTTGTAGTATTTCAGAGTACTAAAATTACCTCAAGTACATGCATAAAATCTTTAAATATTCGCTTTCTTTCAGATTCTAGAGTTATGTCCTCAAATGCTGGCTCTTTTACAAATCTCTCCCGGATCTGGAAAATTCAGACATGGAACATATTATGAATATCAAGAAAATAAAATTTAAGGAGTAACATAGCAAGTGAAAATTATGACAAACTGTCTCCTTAGTTTTATTTCTTTAAAGCCCCAATTTTTTAATAAATACTCTTTAAATGGAGCACGGTCCAAATGTATTTTCAAAAATTACTCTAAAATAGTAACTATACAATGGGAAAAGAATTAAAACTATTAATTGTAAATTAGTAGTTCATTAGAAAATAATTACAAGCATACATACATCTTCCCAGACAGCATCCAACTCTATTGGAGGAGTAGCTTGTTTCAACATACTCTTAAATGCAGATTCTTTCCGTTTCATCTTCCGAGCCTCCTCTTTTTCTCTTTCACGTTCACGGGCTTCTGCCTTTTCTAGTAACTTTTAGAAAATCATATTTAATATAAGCTACAATGGTGAAATTATTAATTTTTGTTAATATAGTTCATATTCTTACATATTTTCCCACCGTTTATATAGGCCAATCGGTAACACCAGTTAATGTGAGCAAAGGAATTTTAACTCAGCACATCTAAACATTTTCTTTCACATTACTCTGAAAGACCATCTACTCTGTGATGTCCTAATCATGTTCCTTTACTCCCAAAGTCTACAGCTTAGGTGCTGAATATATTAAAAATTGCACTACTGTTTATAATAACTTACACTATTGAAAGCCAACTTAATATTCCCGGCATCTAATGTGGTTGATCTTTTAGTTGAACTGATTATTGCCACAAAATCTTCAAAAGTAGTATTAACTTCAACTACAAATCCCTTATCCTAAAAGAAAAAAGAAATCTTATTAACACAGGAACACCATGCCCATTTTTAAAATATACTACAGATTAATGTAAATATACCATTTACCTTTAGAATGTCTTTTATTATCTTCTTCTCATCATGATAACGTGCTTTAAGATCCTCAACATAAAACTTGAAAAGGTCAAGTGCAGTTGATCCTAATGAAAAAACTAAAGAAGTCAAAAGCTAGCTCTAACCAAAGAGCTGCAATTACTTTTTTTGTTTATAAAACAAAATAAAGCACCCACCCAACCCTCAACACAAGCACTTTATGCCCCTCCACCCTGCCCCCAGCCCCTCCCAATTACTATCATAACTATAAATTAGGAAAGAATCTCACCCGGCTGACCAAGCATATTAGTGAATCTAATATCAGAACTAATTGTTGGATACAATTCCATCCAAGATGACATCGAATGCAGTTGTCCGTGTTCATGCAATTCATCTAAAAATATCTGGAAAAAAAGACCACCACCACCAACAAAAAACACTGTACTGAAAAGTCATTGTTAAGGACATTAGAAATATCAGTGTAGCTTAAGAACGCATGTTAAAAAAAGCAACATTTAAAACTTCTACCAAAGCCATACCAAATATGTTTAGGTACAAAGAATACACACATGTAAGGAAAGGAACAATCTCCTTTTAGGCAAAATTTTGTACTTCAGAGAAGTATCTAGAAAATCCTAGTTTACTATCTCTAAAGATAGAAACTTGCATCTCAAAAAAAAAAAAAAAAAGGTAAAAATTAAGTCAAAATATTGTATACTGTCTACATCAAACGATGAATACGGGTTTGCATGTTTCCTATAAGTAAGTTTTGTTTTATAAAACACAGTGACTAATGTGTTTTGCGCTCTTCATCTTTCTGAATAAATGTGGACCTCTAAGAGGAAGATGTATAATTCAGGGGAAACAGAAATCAAGCTCATATCTGACTTCAAAACATACTTCCTTTCTTCCAAATACTATTATACCTTAAAACTAACTCTTTATATATTTATTCCAATTTCTTTTATTCATTTTAAGTATGTTGACTTTCAAAGCAACATATTGAGATTTTAGTACTCAGCAATTTCTACATTTGCTGCTTCCCCAAAACCTCAGTATAATCCTATAACCTAATGTCCTTAAAAGAACTATATAAGCAACAATTCTGCTCCTAAAATTCCAACACCTGAACTGTTCAACTTGGTAGCAACATTCAGTTTGGTATCCACTGGTCAAATGTAGTCTCTAAGTACATGAGATGTGGCTACTTTGAACCGCAGTGTGTCATAATTTTTATTACCAAAAAAATTAGTTTTTAAAAATACTGATTACATGTTAACAGTTTGAAAAAAAGACTACCATTAATTTAAAATTTTAAGAAATGCTGTGGCATACACATTTTTATTGGCTAGCACTGCCCTGAATAACACCAGGAACCTACAACTCTTCTTCTCCAAGAATAAGCATGTACATACAGTCACAGATTTTTAAAATTCTTTCTTCTAATGTTCTATTCTTTTGTTCCTTCCCTTCAACAAAAATGGAGTCCCTTATTAACCCTCCCTTGCTGTGTGATCACAAGTTCTTCACTTGTTCCCTCTATGGCATCCCTAAAATACCTTAGAGACCATATTCAATTTCCACTCCACCCTATCTGCTTTGATAGTATTATTTCCAAGTTGCTGACATCTGTATAGTCACAGAATTTTGAGACTGAATCTATTTCAATAGTGAATTCCTAACCTGAACTAGAATCTTCCTAGGAATATTTTTCTTAAAATATGGATTGAAATCTAGATTTTGTAATTTTACTTTTTAAAGATCAATACAATAAGACTGAAGTGAATTCAGGTTTGAAAACCACTATGCTATGGTTTCTAGAATGGTTCTAGAATGATGGTTATGGTTCTAGAATGATGATTACCAGAGGAATAAGGAGGAGGCAGGGAATGGGGAGAAGGAATCAATTGGTTGATAACAGGTGACTGTATTTCTGCGGTGGGAGTGATGTGATATATACAATTGCAAAGGTGAGAAACGGTACACCTTCTGAAACTTATAAATTGCAAACTTCAAAAAAAATAAAAAAAGAAAAAACTAGATGGTTCTATCTTATTTACTAATCACAATGGGGGTGGGGGGAGGAGCCTAGTCTTTACATTATAGAAAGCAAGTTCTACGTACGATGGCCAAGCCTCATATTCTCCTCTTGGAGAAGAGGTCCCTAACCTTGGTTCCAGTGACATCTAGTACTACCACTCTGGGGGTAGGTACACAGTGAGTCCTGTACATTGCACACGGAGCAGCACTTCTGACCTCTATCCATCATGATGCCAATAGCTTCTTCTACCCAAATCATAACCATTAATAAAATCATTACTTGGAGCATCAATCTCACTGCTGCACAGCCAGCCCAGTATTTCTTTACCCTTATCTCCTTAATATTGTTCATAATACAACTATGCTTGAATTCTAAACCTTCTATGATTTTTTGTTTAACAAAAGATAACCAATAACATTCAGTTTCTTTCATTCTCACCCTCTTGACTGTTTTTTTCTTACTCAATAAAAACCATTTTCTTAACTCTGAGCGTATTTGAACTTTATCATCAAAATATCTTAGAGAAAGGACTAATTTTGCTTCTATTTAAATTATTTGGCAACCCTCTGACTTTCCATAACGGTAGTCAATTAACACCTTAAATGCTGTATCTAATTGTTTTTCAGGCTTATTTAATGAAGATTCTTAACATGTGCCTTTTTGGTGGGTTAAAGAATCATGGCAAGGGCTGGTAAAAACCATGAACTATTGAGCTGCACTCCCAGAATTTTATTCAGCAGGTCTGGTATAGGGCTTGAGAATTTCCATTTCTGTAATATCCCAGGTGATGCTAATGATAAATATATTAGGACCATGGTTTGAAGGTCAGTGCTCTAACTCAAAAACACACCTTGGCTTCTGAGACACTGTACATTCCCCTTTAAAACATTTGGTCATTTTTTTCCATCTTGATATGAATCCAAAAACCAGATTTTAAGATTTAAAAATACAAAACAAAACCGTAAGTTCCTTGTTACAGATGGACAAGTATTTATCACCTAATTGGTAAATTGATATTTGATAAAATGTCAGCTATCATCATTATGGAGAATGTTCTTTCATCCATGATTTTTTTTATTTCTAACATCAATTTTCTCTTCTAATTAATTTTTTATTGGAATTCTAAATACACATCGACAGGTAATGCACTAGTATAGGAAAATTATCTAAGTAATAATAAAATGCTAGGGCCTCCCCTGGTGGCGCAGGCGGATAAGCGCCAGGCTGTGAAGCTGTCCACAGCCACTGCAGTGTGGTTTCGATCCCGGATGGCTGGCGAGGGTCTCACATGGCAAGAAGACCTCGCCTGCCTCACCCGCTGCTCCCCTCAGCAGTGTAGTTCGTCAGTCTGCCTGTTCTGTTCCCTGCTCTGTCTCTTGTGGATCTTCTCACCCTCCCACACATCTGTCCTGTACCCCTACCCCTGTTCTTGTATAAATAAATAAATCTTTAAAAAAAAGTGCATTAAAAAATAATAATAATAAAATGCTAATATAAATTGCATTAACAATCAGAAAACATGCCAGATGTCTATCAGGTCTACACAGCCTTTACATTTCTCGTCCATTCTCTACAGCTCTGACACAATACATTCTTTTATATTTTCTGTGACCCAAATTTCCTTACTTAATTATATTATTTTATCACAGGTTTTTCTTATTTTAAAACACTGCAAAACCATCATCACCATTAAAATTTAAAGTCTACAGTATTAACTCACCTCTTAAAATTTAATCTCTTCTTCCCAGGTACATGGCTTAGTTGAAATTTAGGTTTTCCTGCCTCCTTTTTATCTAACTGTGGGGATATGACTAAATTTCTCAGCAACTGAATATGAAGAAGGCTAGAACTTGTACATCACAGGCTTTTTAAAAAACCTGCCTTTTCAACTTCTTCCAAGCTCATGGGAACAATGATCATAGGAAGAATGTAGTCCTAAACATTCAGAGAAGATTAATGGTCTAGAGCTTTTCTCAAAATATGCGTAAGGAGAAATCAGTATCACTTGGAAAATCATTAGAAATATAAAAATCTCAGAAGCCACCCCAAATATAAAGAATCAAATTCTGGTGGTAAGACTCAACAATCTGGTCATAATAATCTTCTGAACGATCCTTTGGGATACTACCTGGATAACGAAACCTATCAAGAGAAGTTTTTATGGAATGAGGACTGAAATAATGCTATTAGCTGTGGCATTTAAGATAGCTAGTAACCATTAGCATAGCAGGCAGAGTTTTTCTAAAAGCCCTTAAAGTGATTCTGATGCCTGCTAGGTTTTGAGGAACACTGCCTTAGGGATGGTACTATGTTCTACTCTAGACCAACTTATATTAAGACATAAATTTCTTATTTAAGCCACTGTAACTTAGCATTTATCCAAATACAGTGCTTTAATGGAAGAGACCCCATAATTAAGACTACAGATTCAAATTCTGACTTCATTATTCACTAGGTTAATTTGGGAAGTCACTTCACCTTTCTGAGCCCATTTCCTCATCTTTAGAAAATAATATAACAAAAGTTTTACATAAGTACAACAAAAGGAGTTTTAACCAAAGCACACACAGTAGTAGTATCTACTCTTAGAAAATAAGACTATCAAAATTAAGAGACTATAAATTAAAAATGTATAACAATAAAAAAAATCAACTAATGCTAACTGCTATTACAATCATTCCTGAGACAATATGGTGAAATATGTAATACAAAAAGTTCATTGCTTCATAACAGTTTCCATTATAGAGAGAATAAAAGTGATACCTAAAGGTGAAAATGAGCTATATAAAGGATTAGTAATTTTAGCTTGTATATATGACATGTAAGAATTGTGGCCTATGCCTAAATTTTAATACAGTATTCTCTAATTTATCAGTGCTCAAATACCAAAATTATCTATATTCTAATGTTTACCTAAACTAAAATGGCTGTTATCGTTAAGTGAACTCATAACTAATTACAGGACATTTTAAGAGTTGTATGTATCTGGATCCTCTTAAGAATGTCTAAGTCATGATCTGGGCAGATATCTCAAAATTGTTTGTCATTGTTTAAGCTCACTAACTCTATTATAAACTTAAATTAAAAGAGAGTTTAATTACCTGAAAAGATTCTCTATTTTTACGTTGTCGTCTCCTTTCTCTCAGCAAACTCTTTTGTTTTTCCTCCTCTTCTTCCTTTTCTAATGCCCGAATGTGTTCTTCAAAGCAAATTAATGCATCTTCTTTATCCATGTCTGAAGTTTTAATAAGAAAAAAATCAAAATGTAGGGCCTCCCTGGTGGCACAAGGGGTTAAGACGTAACCTATGAAGCTATCTGCAGCCTCTGCAGCATGAGTTCAATCTCCCGGCCAGCCAGGGAGAAACCCACATGGCATAGCAGACCTCTCCTACTCGCCCGCTGCTCCCCTCAGCAGTGTACTTCAGTTAATCTGCCTGTTCTGTTCCCCACTCTGTCTCTCGTGAATCCTCTCACTGCTCACACCTCTGGCCTGTACCCCAGCTCTTGTATGCATAAGTAAATAAATCTTTAAAAAAAAAAAAAGAAAAATTAAAATGTCAAAATATCAGTAAGGAAAGTAGTTTAAGCATTGCATTAATTCCCTACAAATTTCAAATTCACCTTTTTAAAATATCTTATTTCAACTCAAACATGACATCTAAGAAGAAAACATTTAAGTAAAATTCCCCAAAGATGACACTAATAGCTATCCTGACAGCTAGGATGTAACAAAAACCATGCACATGACATAACTAATGAAAGTTAAAAAATCAGCATTTCAGAATTACCCAATTAGCCTTAAAAGTATAGAATTCAAGGCTCTATCCCAAACCTAGTGAAACAAGCTTTTTAGAAGGATAATCAAGAAAGCTGTAATTAAAAACAACTCTGGATAGATCAGAAAACATCTTGGGGAAGTATAATATAAGACTAATATACTTTTTGCATATATCTAAGGTTATTACTTCAAGATAGCATGTGTTAAAAGTGATAATCTGGTTCTTACTGTTACATATAAATGTCAAAGAACAATTTTAACTTTTACCTATAATTATTATAGTTCAAGTATTATCTAATTAAAGATAATTTGAGATTTCTCAATAAATTTTGTCCTGAACCATAAAACTGTATTAGAAAGAATAAACCTAGTTGCAAATAAAGAATACATTTTTTCAAAAGTGGATAATTCAGTAAGTGACATAAAACAAAGTATGAATTCTCTCCCCAGGACAACTTTTATAAAATTTCTTCTCCCATTTAGGCATTATTCTTACTCTGTAATTCCTCATCTTCAGCAAAAGTTGGATTATCCATCAAATACTGTTGGGCTTCAGACCAAGTAGTAGAGTAAGTTACATTAGCCATGTTGTCAAGTATGTTCTTTAAGGCTTCCCAATTTCTCTTTCGCAACTGCTTCGCTTGTTCCTAACACAAAAAAATGGTGACACAGGTTTTGCAGTTAGAAAAAAATTACACTTAAACTGTATGAGTGAAGGTCTCTTTACATTTTGATAATGAAATTTCAAGTGTCACCCATTTACTTAAGACATAAACACTTTTATAAAGCACATGCCTAACAGCCTGGTTTGGCATTTACCTTTACCTCTCTTCTAAAGCCAGAATTTGGAAACCATGTTTCTGCTCCTAGTCCATAAATCACTCAAGCTACCACTATGCATTACAGACAAGATCTTAGAACTAATGTCGCTGTGGACAAGTCATACAATGTATAAATGATAAGTTCTTCAACCACTTTGAACTATGTTCAAATTTTTGTTTTTAACACTTGCATTTCTATCTCTTGAAAATGCATAGTATAAAACGTAACAGGACATAATAAAAAAGACATAAAAAAAGAGGTGTTTTAAAACACTATCCTAACAGTAGTTTCATGAAAACAATCATTTTTATACTATCATTTTTATAAAAAAATTGTAAATGAAAATGTTAAATGCAAAAACAGTGACCAGTTTTTAAATCTCATGAGCTAAGGAAAAAACATTTTATCTTTCAAAAAAGGCATAACAATTTATGATAAAACAAGTAATAGTTGAATAAATCTATAAATATCATGACCATATCAATACTTATTAATATGGGAACTACTATTTTTAAATATAATTTCTAATGAGTATATCACTTGCATCATATAAATTTGCATGAAGTAACCAACAAACATGGGCATGTTATTTAAAAATTAATAAATATGAATACCAAAAACTAAGTGAATACCTTTTCTTTTTTTGAAAGAAAGAATAAAACATCTTCGTAGATTTCAAGACGATCACGTTCTGATATTGCATTCCAGACTTCCATTTCTCCAAACATCTGCTCTGCTTTTCTGTTAAAAGAATTAAATTTTATGCTGTTATATAATAAAATTAATTTCAAACTACTACACTAAGTTTAAAATAAAAAAATGAACATTCTTTTCCACTTTAAGTTCATGACTGTATTAAAGGAAAATTCCGAATAAGAACAAACCAGCCTAGGCCTCTCATTTCTCCTTATAGAGTGATAATTCTCACTGAGCAGTGTTTTTGTAGTCAAGACTATCTCTCTTTCTTAGAGTAGCTAGAGAGACTGCTAAAATATCTATAGAACTAAGTTATAGATTTCAAAAACCCAGAAATTCAGTTTACAAGTAAAATAGGACAATTTATAATCAAGATTCCTTCACTAAGGCTTTACTGAATGAGGGAAACAAGGAAACATTAGGAAAAATGAACTTAATAGTGTATTTAAAAATTTAAATCAATCACCCACAATTTTCATAAAGTACTCTAAAGAAAGCAAGTTTTCATAATTAACATTTTGAAATGTCTTAATGAAAATACTTTCATAAATATCAAAAATTTCAATCTTTATGTTAAGTAGAAAGGAGTAATTTTCATTATTAAATTGGTTTTTCTCCTCTTTAGATTCTAATTAATAACCTGCCAAGTCTATAAATTGAATTTCAGACTTAACTACTGATTTATACGTTACAAAACCACCAAATTTAGAAACATTTAGTTTTATTTAATGTGCATCTACTTTGGATTAGTTATTACACTTGGCAAAATGTCTGAAAACTGAAAAAGTGCAGTAAACACATACCACCCATCATTAAAAATCTTACTTGTATCTGGTTGTGGAAGTCATTTTCTCATGATTTTCAAGAAAACGCTGAAAGGATTCTTTAGCCTCTTTGTATTTTGATCTGGCTTCTTCTTTTTCTTCTTTTTCTGTCTGGACTTTATAGGCATTAAAGGCCTGCTTTTTTTCACTCAACTTTGCCAACGCACTAAGTAATGAAAAATATCAGGAAAGACGAAGTAAAAACAGGATAACCTAAAGTCAAGCCTTTGAAATTTAATTGATTTAATTCACAAATTCAGAAAATTTTAGTAAGATATTTAAGAGATGATTATAGAAAATTTCTACTTTAAAATAATTTTAATTTCATTGGTAGCAAGATGCTCAAATTGCATTAATAAACCTTCACTTTTCTTTCACATCAGACATAAAAAATATTATTCTTGGTATCTAAAATAACAAAAACTTTTTATTTGCTATGCTCAAAGTGGAAAATAAATAAAAAAAATCAAAGTATTACCTGTATCGTGGATCATTAATGATCATTTTCATTGCCTGCTCCCATGAAGCATTGGATGGAACCCGCTGAAAATCATTTAATGAAAAATTAAAATTTCAAACACATACAACAGAAGTCATTCAAGAGGAAACAAAGAATACTCACTGCAAACATTAAGCATTTTTCCTTGCAGAAGTTTGAAAAAAGGAGTAAAAAATAATTTATTGAAGAAAAGAAAATCTGGGGTAATATGCCTATAGGCTTAAAGACAGTTTTTGATTGAAAGTCATCATAGAAATGTTTTTAGAAAAAAAAATGCAAGAGAAATTCAGTTCACTTTGTTATAATAGTTTCTGAATGTATTTTCAATAGAAACCAGGTATTGCACATGGATGGAACTAGAGGGAATTATGCTCAGTGAAATAAGCTAGAAGGAAAAAGAAAAATATCAGATGTTTTCATTTATAGGAGGAATATAGGGAAACCAAGTAAGATTATCAGTTTAAAAAAAATATTAACCGTACAAAACACAACAAAGCAAAAACAGACAATTATGAATCAGAGACATACTGCAGGGGAGGAGGAGGGAGAGGGGTCAGAGGGAGAGAGGGAGGAGCACAGGGGACTGAGGTGATGATGCTCGGGTGCATTGGTGAAGGAAACTCTATGGGGACTACCCCTGAGGGGGTGGGGGGAAGCAAATATTGTTTAAAAATGAACAATGATGTAAAAAATACATATATATAAAAATAAAAGAAACCAGGTGTTGCAGTATTAAAGAGCAACTTCATTTATTATCACATTATATAAATATCTGTAATGTAAAATACCTTTTCTTTCAATAATTCCTTAAATGCTTGCTTTGCCTCCTCCTTTGTATTCCACGTATATGTTTTTTTGGCTGGTTGGCTTTCTTCCTCTTCTTTTTTGGGAGTAAAACTAGAGAATTTAAATATTATTTGTTACTTAAATAAACCCATTTCATATAGAATAATGTTTTATTTAAATGTCTGATGTTGAGCTACAATTTGACAAATTTAGAATTGTCTCCTATATCAACCCTGAATGTATCTAAACCTAAATTAAAGGTATAGCTTTTTTCTAGTTTTTCAATTAACACCCGCACAAAGGCCAAAATTAAGGTCAGCAAATTATAACTCAAGTGCCAAATACAACCAAGGTGCATGGTTCTAAAAATACAGCTTTACTGGAACACGGGTATATTCATGAGCATATATACTATTTATGGCTAAGTGCATGCTACCACAGCAGAGTTTAGTCACTGTGACACACTTAACCCACAAACTGAAAGTATGTACTCTTCAATAGTTCAGGAGAAAGCTTGCTGAACAAAGATTTCAAACAAAAATAATTAATATATCCAAGAATTCTCAACTGTACTTGTTGAGGTCCTTATGAAGAAGTTATATGTGACAAGAAAGTTATATAATTTTATAAAGTTTTTATTTGCTATAAAAAAACCCCAAATACTATAATATTAAAGGAAGAGACTAAACTAGTTACTTTGTATCTACTAGTAGAGTGGTAACTTCCACAGGTTATCTATTTGTTCAATACCAAACTTCCTTGCAGTGCTAGGCCACATTTGAAAGTGAGGCAAATTAAAGAAAATCAGTAATAACATTCCTTTAACAAAAATTTTGGTATTTATTTATCACAGATGTTCTGCATCGATTTTGATTCAAAATACTGCACCATGATGTGACAGACCTTGGTTACTAAGGTTTTTGGCACCCCTTTAAATGTTTATGTCACTCTGTCCCCAACTGTTTCCTAAAACTTCTGTTCAGCTTTGTGGTACACTTTGATAGCATGGCTACACAAAACTCAGCTTTGAAAATGGTACGTTATCTATAGGCTATGTTTTAATTTTCCAGAATATCTTAAACACTTAGTGGACAATGACTAAACTGGCAATTTCTTGTGTTTATGAAATTTGCTACTGAGTTACAGAGGACAAGCCATTAAACTTACTCCGCTACTGTTTCCTGCTTAGATGTTTCTTCTCCAGTGTTACTGGATACTTCACTTTGATCCTGAACAGCAGGAGTACTAGTAAGTTGAGCTTGTTCTTCAGTTGAAATTGTTACTGTATTTTCATTATCTACAACAGTAGCAACAATGGAAGTAACTTCAGGCTCGGGAACAACTGGAACAGTTCCACCCACAGTATTAGAAGCAGAGGTTGAAGCACTGGCATTAGCTGCAGCTGCTGCAGCTGCTGCTGCAGCTGCTGCAGCAACAACAGCTGCTGCTGCTTCTGCAGCAGCCATGGTGCTCATTGTAGTCGGAATTTCTGTTGTAGGAACTGGGGCTGTTGATGTTGTGGTGCACTCTTCTTGCTTACTATATATTTAAAAAAGAGAAAAGTAGCCATTTGTTATTTAATCATGAAGCCAAAGCAAACTTTCAGTAATCATAAAATCAAATAAATATAATGGAACTTAAAAGGACTTGGTAAAAATCAGTGTTGCCAAACTATTAGGCCATTCAAAAAGATAAAATCACAGACTGTGAGTTACTGCCTTGATTTAATTCAGCAAATACCTGTGATAATGTATGACAGGCACTCATGCAATAGGCTGCCTATTTCCAAAGGTCCAATAACTGTCAGATTGTATTATATCATGAAATTTGACCTGAACCATAATTTTCTATTAAGTTTAAATTTTATCAATTTTACTCATTAAAAGGCAAACTTGACGAAACAGATCACTGATGTGATGTTTCATTCATTTTCAAATTAACTCAAATCAAATTTGGGCTTTTTCTGTAAGTTTTCTTAATTCATAAAGGATACAGTTCAAATGCAAATAATCATTGTCTACTAAAGCATCATTTGAACATCTTGAGTAAATATTTCTGTCCCTGCCTCAAATCTCCCACCAACCTCAAACCAACAGGTCTAATTTGTCAAATATTTGCATTGTAAAGGAACTAGACAGTTATTGATAAGATTATAGGAAACACCAAATTTATAACTTTGAAAATTCATATTGATGTCCAAAATTGCTTACCTGCTTTCCTCAGCTTTGATCATAGCTATTAAAGAAAAAAAAAGAAGTTACCTACTACATAGTTTTAAATATACAATCACTGAAAACAAATTTAAATGGAGATAATGAAGAAGTATCATAGTAGGGTTTAATTTATCATCCTTAAAAAAAAAAAAAAAAAAAATCACCACTTTCACAAAGCAAATGCTTGCTCCAAAGTTCCAGGGCAGCAGTTAAAGAATGAAGACAAAGGTAGCAATTTTTAGGAAAGCCTCTCCCCATACTATTATTTCCCAAAAGGCTGTTGCCTATTACAAAACTCTCTGAAACTACTGCATAGTTCTGAAATAAAACAAAGCAGTACTTTCCCCAGTGATAAAACTTTGATTTTTTTTTTAAAGTTACAAAATTCAAATGGGATCAAATTCATATTATGAAATTCCAGCATATATATACTAGCATTGACAGGTAAATAATTATGTACACCAACTATTTGCAGTAGGGTTATATCAGAAATGAGCTTGATATTTCTTACATAAATTTTAAATCTACCTATCTACAATATTATAATCAAAACTAGTATAGAAACTTCAATTGACCTTTAAAGATTTGCGGTTAGTAGTTCAGCTTTTATTCTACTTAAAGTTTTCTTTAGGGGTACAAAAATCTCATTTGTTCAGCTTTCTTAGGGAATTGGGGTCCTTCATGGAAGTGATAAAACAAAAATTCTTTATGAAAATATTTCAAATTACCACTTTAAAAGGATCTCTGAAAACCTGTATATAATGGCTGACAAAACATACTAAAAGGAGTTAGCACTAACCTATTTTTCACATAATCTAAGTTAATGAGGTGATAAGAGGGAATGTAAACAAACAAGATCACAATGCCTTTAAGAAAACTTTAATTCTTGTCAAACATCATTCCACATTGCAGACAACTTTATTAGTACCATTCTCCTATGATCATTTGCTTCTAATCTGAAATAAGTTTGACATTAGATTTCTACTAAAGAGAGAGTAAGAATGAAATTCTCAGTTTTCCCTCATTATCTCAGCTATTTTAAGTCTTGGGTTTTATAGTTAAGTAGTAAGTACTTCTAGATTTTCAGAGGTATTCTGCATTGTTGGGGATGTTCAAAAAAACTTCCTTTGTGCATATTTTGTTTCCTAATTCTCCCATTACAAATATATCAAGGCTGTTTTGCAATGCTGAATGTAAATAAAATCAGCACTGTAATTGCAGTCAAATAAAATATTAAAATTTAAACAGAAAAGGATCAAGGTTCTTTGTTATCTATTTCACAGATTCCATGTATGTATCAACCCTCACAGTATATTTAGACTACAAGCTCATTTATAATACAACCCTGAAATGAAAAGAATTCTTTGAATTAGAGATTTCTCACTGCAGATTTATCCAATCATGGTTAGTGACTATTAGTGACATACTCTAAAAAATGTTAAATGACAGAAAATGAATTATCAAAGCAGCTCACCATGCAGGTTTGATTTTGTAATAAGACTTCCAGCAACAATGGTATTCTGGTATCCTAGTTTCAGTGGAATCAAATCAAATAAAAATCTATTTAAAATCTATAGAACTGAGATCTAGAGCAACAAGAAAATAAGAGCCCATAAAACTGTTACATTGTTTAACATGGTCTAATCATTTAATTAAAAAGAAAACCTTCTGGGGAACAATCCCATGTGCGAAGGACTGTTTTACCGTGAATGACATATGTATATGTGTTTAAAAAATTAACAGTATTTTTTCCTGTTTTACCTTCAAGATCCTCAAGTTCTTTAGGTTTGGCCCAGCGTGATTCTTTTGTTTGCGAATTATAATAGTAAGGCTTTCCAGAGTCAGATTTGTACTCCTTCCAAGGGCATTTAGATAAAAGTTGCTAAAGGAACATAAAACCCTTAGTTAACAGAAATATGTTTATCATATTCATCATTCAAATCACTGATTCATTAGATAATATCAACTTACATAATTTCAAAACTGTGACATGATGATAAGTTACAATTATAGGACACCTACACAAAGTGATGTTACATGAACTGAATGTTATTTAACCTTTACAGTAAGACTGTTAACACTGATAGTATTAATAGGCATTCCCAATTTACTTAGGCAAAGTAAGGTGTCTGAGGCAATATACCTATTAAGAAGCAGAGGGAAGATTCAAAACCACATCTATTTGAATTTCAAATCCTGTATGTTCTCTTTGTCATTTTGTTTCCCACCGTAAATAAAAATTACTGTAAGTAAACAGACTTCTCAAATATGAACACAAGATGGAAAAACCAGTGTGGGGAAAAAGAAAAATGTGGTTGCTTAATTTCAGTTTCATGATAATTTATTATATATCTTATGTAAGGAAACTATAAATATAATTAAATAATATGTGAAACTGATGAGGGTGGTATGAGAATACTATTGAAAACTTAAATCTAGACAGAGTATTTTGGGCAAATACTAAACCAATACATATCACTGACTATACGCCAGTGTTGGGTTAAATAAAATATTTTGATATCTACCAATATACCTTTCCCAGGTATTACTATGCATAGTAAGCGTGGTGACCTGGAAAATGCTTTTATATCCCTAGATTTCTTAATTGGGGTTGCATGGGTGGGATGATATGCTGCCAATTAGGAAAAGTGCCTTAAGTATAACTTGGAGGTTTCATATCACTCTTAATTAGGACTCCATAGAGTTTCTAATTAAACCATAGTACTTACTGCTTACCAGTATATTCTTCTATCTTCTGTTTATATTTTGAATGGTGAAATTTGCAACATAAATTGAAATCTAGGAATTTATTTTTTTTTTTTGTGGAGGGGGCAGGGTGGGGGACAGATGGACATTTTCCACTAAGAGAAAGACAATTTTCCACCTAAGAGAAGTTAATTGTAATTTAATTTCCTGTCCATTTCTCCACCCACTGGAAATTTTTATGAACTCAGTAAAAATCATTTATAAAAACATTTAAGTTTGATATAAAGAAGACACTTGCATATTAGAATAAAAAATAAAAGGCATGCAGAGACAGACCTTTTTTTCTTCCAATTTACTTTATAAATTAGTCACCTTTCTTAAATTAATGCCTCCTGACAAGTGTTCCTAATCAGGGGCAAAATCATGAAGCAAAATTAGTTTGTCCATAAAAAGGAATGTGTTATATTTTTTGCTGATTGGTGCAACTGCATTAAGTAAACCCCTTTCTTTCTCTGAATTTATTTATTTATTTATGCATACAAGAACTGGGGTACAGGCCAGAGGTGCGAGGGGTGAGAGGATTCACCTGAGACAGAGTGGGGAACAGAACAGGCAGACTGACTGAAATACACTGCACTGAGGGGAGCAGCGGGCGAGACAGGAGAAGTCTGCTGCACCAGGTGGGTTACCTCCCTGGCCAGGGATTGAACTCATGCTGAAGTGGTTGTGGATAGCTTCACAGTGGTTTGTCTTAACCCCTCGCGCCACCAGGGAGGCCCTCTCTGAATGTTTTATAGCAATCTTTCTTGAGACATAAGCAATACTGTTCTTGGGTGGTCAAGTATTTACGAAATCTAAAAAAAACATGAACCAGCCTACTTAACAACCCACAACTTCCAGCCCTCAAACTTTTACCTCAGCTGGTGTTTTAAGATCATCTGGTTTCTCCCAAGTCGACTGTTTTGTTTCAGTATTATAATAGTAAGTCCTTCCATCAGGTGATTTATGTTCAGTCCACATAGATTTCTGAAGGAAACAATAAAAGATTTAAATCACTTAACTGTGCCACTCAAAATGACTATCAGTAGTAACGAAGTTATATGAAGAAATCAGAAGTATAAAATGGGTATAGTTTTTAGACAATTCAGGTAATTTAGAAAATTTAATGCAAATGGAGAAAGGGATAACTGAAAAACAGTATTTTAAAAGTACTTCAAAAACAGCATGAATCCATTCAGGTTCTAGAATCTCTATTCTATGAAATCGCAGAATTAAAAAATAGGACTGCTCTTATACAGTTACTTTGTAACTCACGCACACAATCTTTCAGCAATATAATTTTATGCTTTGGGGATAAAAGAGACTGCCTGAACCAGATGATAATGCAACATAGGTGGGCTGACTATGAGTTCAACAAATCCAATTCAAAGATTATGACTTTGGGATAAGAATCAGAATTTTAGCATCAATAAGGAGAAATTTTACAGGCATAAAGTGCGAATGCAAATGCCTCAACACAAGATAGGGGAGACAAAATTTTATGTGAAACTAGAAAAAAATCTAATTAAATTGAATTAAAAATGAAAGCAAAACTTCAGACATAAGTATACATGATGCCTCCAATTAAAATTGGTTAAGAGTGTCACATAGTCACCATTGTACATGCACACAAACACACACAAACTCATAATAAAGAGGTGGAAAAAAGCTTGCAAGGTGGGCCTCCCCTGGTGGCGCAGTGGTTGAGCACTGGGCTGCGAGGCTGCCTGTACCCTCTGCAGCGCCGGTTCGTTCCCCGGCCACCGGCGAGGGTCCCACAAGGGGAACAAAAAATATCCTTGTAAGGTGATGGACTGTTCATGGTCCTGACTGGTTTCATGCACGTACACTTACATACTCCCAGTCATCCAGTTGTACACATTAAATATGTATGGCTTTTCATATGTGAACCATACCTTAACATAGTGGTTTAAAAAGTTTTAAAGATATTATGAATGAAGGAATTACTGGAGAGATCAAATTAAGAATGAAGGAATTACTGGAGAGATCAAAGGTGCTAGGTCTAGTTGTGGGTACCATCTTTTCAAGAGGGTATCAGATAACTCCCCTTAAAAAGATTACAGTATTCCAGAGAGAGAGAGAGAGAGAGAGAGAGAGAGAGAGAGAGAGAGTGTGTGTGTGTTTGTAAGACTCAGATGTACACTCTGAATGGGCCAAAGCTACAACAGTACTTTTAACCTTTTAAAGAATTGCTTTGGGGTTTTGCAGAAGTTACTGAGCTATCCCTTGCATTGGAGCTTTAGGGTTAACTCAGTACTTCTGCCCCAGGTGATATAATTCCTAAAATTATTTTATTACTGACACAGTTATTGTACTATTAAAAAATTATCAACACAGGCAGCACTCCCACTGCCTACCTGTGACTATGAAGGTGACTCTTTTCACCAACTCTCTCCCTCTGCAGGGCAGCAGCCTCCTGCCTGCCCGTGACATGTACATACTGGGGCTTCTCTTCACAGACCTCCCTCAGTGGAGGCTGCTCTCCTCAAGGCTACCTGCCTGCAACCATGCAGGCCTCTCTTAGCAAACCTGTCTCTTTCGGGGCACCTCTTCCTGCCCTCTTGTGTCTATGCAAGCGTCTTTTACTATCCTATCCCTTTTCTAATAAACCTGCTCTTTAAATATCAAAAGAAAAATTATCAACAAAAAAGGCAGTCCTGGGGAATTAATCAAATGTGAACATTTTTACAAATGATAACCTAGAGGCATATATGCAAAATAAGGGATCTTTCCTCTTATCCTTAATGTACAAAATGACAGTCAAGTTAACAGTTGGCAATGAATTTTCATTTCATTGAAGGGCAACTTAGTTCCTGTCAAAATTGAAAATACAAGCATAATCTCTTGATGCTGAAATTTCTTTCCACAAAATTCCAATGATAAAGTTGCATAGATGCACAAGATCTTCTCTATAGCATTACTTGAATTAGTGAAAAATCAGATATAGCTCAATATGATCCAATCATACTACAGATGTATCTTATGCAGATCTATTTTTAATATAATGAAAAAACTTCTAAGATGCAATGTTAAAAGAGTTAGGACATAATAAGTGATTTAGTGGTAAAATGTATACGGAAAATATTTGAAACAAAAACTAGGTATAAGGAAATAATGCACATGTATCAGAAGAGATAATATACCTTTTTAAGATTCAAAAAAGCTGATTTGGGTTCTGAATGAATCAATACAGTCAAACTCAAAGATAAACATTTGTGTATACATGTATTTATACAAAGTGAATACTCAGCTGAATGAAAGTGCAAGAGAAAAAAATGCTAAATCTAAATACTAAATAAATCTCCACTAACCTGAATGAAGAATTCTTTTAAAAAGCCAAAATATAATAGATGAGGAAGCTCATAAGACAAGAATTTACCAAAAAACCTCAAAATCTAGAAAAAATTATATTCCTGCAAACTACTTTATCAAAATTCATTCAATAATCAACGTATATATCTAAATATTCCAATTACCACAGAAGCAATTTAAAAGATACATAAAAAGATCTTTTAAAAAATAATATGTAAATTCTAAAGAACAGATAATTAGTGTCATTATTTTAGATTACAGAAAAAGATGAAAAGCTCTGTAACAAAACAAATAGAAAAGATACAGAAAAAGCAAGAAATATTAGCTGAGAAGTAAAATGTTAGTACAAAGAATCACAGTGTCTATACTTTGACCACAGAGAACTTATTCTAACAGTGTAAGGGTGGTTCAGTATTAGGAAATTTGTGTGGAAATAATTTTTTGTAACAAACTGAAAGAAAACAGCACTGGATTACAGTAACAGACTTGGCACATCAAATCACAATTGTGACAATTCATTAAGTATTCAAAATATTTCTTAAAATCTTCAAATAAAATAAAAATAGCTAAATGATAAAAAGCATTTTTTATAAAAAGCCAATAAAAACCATTCTTAAGTCAAAAACCAATGACCAAAAACTGAGTCTACCATCACATTTTAACAACTACAACATAGAAATAAAATGATTTAGTGTAGGTACTAGGAAAGAGATTTAAAAAAAACTATTTTAATTATCCAAAGTATCTGGTAATAAAAAGAGCTTGCAATAAAAATAAGAAAATACATTATTCTCAATGTAAAAAGTTTTATGAGGCAAAAAGAAATAGCTATGACAGTTGTTTGTCCTGCTTAAGGAGAATTTAAAGCAAGAACCATAATGAAGGGGGGAATTTTTAAGATGGAAAAAACAGATAGAAAATATATCCTGAATGTAAATGCATTGGGCAATTTAACCTTGAAAGAAATAGAAAACACAGGGAGAAAAAGATGGCTTATCTGAAACAAGCTAAACATTTTAATACATGCCTTGTCTTAAGAGATTGAGCAGAGGGAAAATACACTAAAAAACATAGTAACAACAAATAATTTTGATAATTTACAGAATATTCCTAAAAATAGATCTTGAAATAGAACACACATTAGTTTTAATAAACTGCAAAGACTCAGGACCTTAGACTTTTCTTATCATAATGCAAAATGGGTACCTTATAAAAAAATAAGTGACCCAAAGCTATGATTCATGAAAGAAATAACCGATAGGATGAACTTCATTAAAAATATCTGCTCTATCAAAGACACACACAGTAAAGAGTAAGACAAACTGGGCTAGAATATTTTAAAAATACACTTTTGATAAAGCACTGTTATCCAAAATATACAAAGAACTCTTCAAATTAAGAAAATAGCTCAAAAAATGGGCAAAAGATTTGAACAGAGACTTACCAAAAATGACACAGAGATGGCAAATAGGATTCTCAACATCATATATTATTAGGGAATTGTGAACTACAATAAGATGATCTACTATGTACTTACTACAATGGCAAAAATCTAAAACACCCTCACCACCAAATGCTGGCAAGCATGTAGAGCAACAGGAACTCTCTTTGAAATGTGAAATCACTTTCAAAGATAGTTTGCCCAGTTTCTTACAAAACTGAACAAACTCTTACTAAATGATCAAGCAATAGTGATCCTTGGTATTTGCCCAAATGGGCTGAAAAATTATGTCCAATAAAAATATGTGTATGAATACTTTATTTATAATTGGGAAAATGTGGAAGCAACCCAAATGTCTTTCACTAGATAAATGAACAAACTGGCATATTCAAACAATCGAATACTATCCACTGCTATTACTATTATTGCTTGTGTTATTATATATTAATATTTAGTGCTGAAAAGAAATGAGTCATCAAGCCATGGAAAGAAATAAAAGGGTATGTAAGTGCATATTAAGAAATGAAAGTACCCAATATAAAAATGTTACAGAGTATATGATCTTAACTATGTGACATTGGAGTCAAAGTAAAACTATGGCCAGAGTAAAAATATTAGTGGATGCCAGTGGTGGAGACGGGAGGCTAGAGAGGGATGAATAGATGGAACAAGCGGACTTTTAGGGCAACAAAACTACTATGTATGAGACTATGATGATGGTTATATTTAATTACACATTTGTTAAAACTCACAGAAAGCTTAACAGCAAGAGTGAAAAACCCTAATGTGAATTGGACTTAGGGTGATAAAGACATACCAAAATATCTTCAGGGACTGTTAACAAATGTATGACCCTGGTGGGAGATACTGCTATTTGGGGAAGCTTCATGTAGGGGGGAGGGGATATCTGGGAACTCGACTTTGCCCTCCCTCCCTTTTTACAATGAACTCAAAACTGCTCCTCAAAAACTCTACTTAAAAAAATCCTAAAGCCAGCCTATAGTCTCCTTCCCCACACTGGTTCAACAACAAGGAGATTCCCACAAGTGGAAAATCAAGAAAAATATACCATGGAATAAACTTTTAATGAAACCAAATGAAGGAAAAAGAGAGGTAAGTAATAATCAAACACCACAAATCAGCACCAAAAACCAAGGAAACTACCTGAAAACCAACAAGATAAAAGCTAAGCACTGAAGAGAATAGAAAAGAGCAATGTAGTAAGCAAGAAAGAAATGACAGCAAAGATAGTTAATCATGTCCGAAAAGAAACATCTATTAAGATTTCTAACTTTGTAGTAATTATTTCACCAGATTAAAAGGACTAATTATCTGAAAATAAATAAATAAAACTTGAAACTGGAATAGCTCCAAAACCACAAAAGAAAGTAAAATGATAACCCCAAACTTCTATTTTCAAAAAAGCAGTTAAGCTTTCAGTAGTGTTCCTTCCATTAAGTTATTAAGAAATAAATTATTCATCATTTCATACAAGTTCTTCTGGGTTGTTGCCCAGACACAAGCTACCTAAATAAGATAATAGCAAACTGAAACCAGAAGGAATTAATAAACACACATGTGCACACATACACACCTTAAAAACACAATGAACAAGTAGGGCTCACCTTAGTAAGGTCAGAAAATATTTCTCTGTATTTTCACATTAAGACTAGAGAAGAAATAGTATATAATCATCTTTATCGACATTATAAAAGCACTGGCAAGCCTCGCTGGTAGCCTTGGGGTTAAGCCTCAGTGCGATCACCACCATGGCCTGGGTTTGATCCCCGGCCTGGGAGCCAACCTATATATGGTACAGCAGACCTCTCCTGTCTTGCCTGCTGCTCGCCTTAGCAGTGTATTTCAGTGAATCTGCCTGTTCTGCTCCTCACTCTGTCTCTGGTGAATTCTCTACCCCCACACCTGTGACCTACACCCCAGCAGTTCTGCACACACCCACCCACACCCACCGACACACACACACAAAGTGTGCGCGTGTGCACTGATAATTTTAAATAGATGTATATATTGAGCAAAAGAGGAATACAGGTAAGACTGACCTTAACAAAGGTTATATCCCAAAAAACTATGGTCAACATGCTTAATGGAGACATTTAGTACATATTCCACTTAAGACAGAAAACAAGAAAAAGATGCCAGCTTAATATTGCTACTGTTCACTATAGTACTAGAGCTTTCTGGCTGACAGTAGAAGTAGAAACAAGTATGAAAATTACAAGAGAAGGAGTCTAAACTGTCATTTGAGGATAGAATAATATATACAGAAAACCCACTAGACAATAAGAGTTCAGCAAGCCTGCTGGATAAATATGTAAAAATGATCATTATAAAGTACAGTAGAAAAATTCAAAATGGCACTAAATTTTACACCGTATCTATAAACTGACAAAATGAAGACTACACAAGCCTTTACTGAAGTAAGCGCAAAACCATTCTAGAACAGATACAAAAGATGATCTGACTACCATGTTCATATATGTGATGATTTAATATTTTAAATGTCCCCAGGATCTATAAATTCAGTGGGATTTAACCAATATACCAAAAAAAATTTTTTTGGCAACCTGACCAATGGATTCAAAAATTTATATAAAAAATGTGCAGGAATATACAGAAACGAATAAAAACCATTTAAACCTTAAAAAGGGGGTGGGGGAGTAAAGAACAGGTAAATTAGAGAGATAGACATTGAAATAAAACATTTACAGAAAAAACAGTAATTTACACATAAAATTTCATACTCTTTCCCAATTCACACATGTCTTAGGACATATATCCAAACAGAGCATCTAAAGAAAGGATAAAATAATAATAAACTTTCAAATACACAGTATTTTTAGATAGGACTGTTGACTAGAAAAGTACAGAAATAATTCTACAAAAGTTTAAATGAGTAAAATATAATCCCAGGTAATTTTGACTTCTGATTGTATCAGGGTTTGTATTTTTTAGATTTTTTTTTTTGAGGTGGATAGGGAAATTCACATGAATACCTTAAAATAACTAAGGAAATGAGAAGAGAAACCATTAATACTTGCATTTTTAGATGTTAAAGTTTCTCTGATTAGGAAAATAAACAATTGGATTAGAAATGGAAAAATAATAAGAAAGAGATGCCAAGATACGAGAGTTTAACATATGACAAAAAAAATTTCAATTCAGTGACATAAAAAATGTCTGAATAGACAATTGACACAACTAAAAATTAACTGTGGTGGCGCATGTGGAAAAACTTCAGGTGAAATTTACTTTCTTCTTTATAATTTGCCTTATATTCCCAGAGAGCCCTCATTACTTTAACAAGCAGGCAAAACATTAAGCTATTAGGGTACATAAATTTTTGTAAAAGAATACCTTCAATGAAAAGTTAACTGAAAATTATCAGGTTAATTTTTGTTTTCTAAATGTGATGAGAAAGCAAATCCTTAAAAAATGATATCAAAGTTCCTTTTTTCTTACCAAGTCCCATCCAAATTAGATTTTACAACAAATCAAATAATTTTTCAACTTTGGAATAGAAAAAAAGGAAAAGGAGTCTACCTAGTGATAATCTTTAGAAATAAAAAATATTGTAGTAGACTAAAGAAATATAATGAAATAAACTATTCCAAAAGTACTTACTGCACCGGATGTTGTACCTAAAAAAGTAAAAAAGGAATATTTACAATGTGATAACCATGTTTCCTAAAAATATTTATTCACGTTATTTCTTCCTCCTCATTCTTTCATACCCTAAAACTGTCCCATATGATTATGTGCTTGTTTTCTTTCCCACAAACATCAATATGCAAAAAGCATTTTCAGGATTAAGTGGCATTTTGAGCTTTCAATCTGCAAAATCATTTGGAGCTAGTGTGAGATGAATTTACCTCTTTCTTTTGTTTATCTGGTCTAATTTCTTCCTTTGTTAAACTACTAGAGTACAGTGTCATGAACTGATGCTTTAGGTTTTTGACAATTTCCACTATCTAGATTACATATGTGTGCTATATATAATACACTATCAATCTGCCACCATCTATTCCTGTTAAAATTATAATTAAAATATATACTAATTAAATACAATTTAAAATTTAGTTCCTCCTATGCAGTAGTGACATTTCAGGAATTTTATATAGCTAGTAGCTAATACACAGTACAGATCACAGAACATTTTCACAGATGCAGAACATTCTATTATATGGTACTGTCTTAAACTACTACCAAAACTCCTTAAGACATAAGGAGACATGCACATTAGTTTCAAAGTTAATGTGAATAATCTCTAATTTTAGAAAATCAGTAATTTAAAATTGCATGTTAAAAAAAATGACTATGTAAAAACGAAACAGTTCATATAGACCCAAGAACAATGAAAAGAAGCTCAATGGTAGAAACAAAATATTTTATAAGTTATTAAGGCAATCTTCCAGGAAAATTTAGAGTACTATTAACCAGAACTAGGTATATCTAAGTAAGGTATCATGTTAGGTATTTCAAAATATCGCTTTAGCTTAAGTAATTTGAAAACATATTTTGATTAATCATGCCACATATAAGCCTTCAGGAGAACACATAGCATGTTTTAACATGTTTCAACCAGTAATAATGAAAACAGAAAAACTTGATAGCATAACCATGGGATAAAATTCAGCATCCGGAATACTAAATTTGTGAAAAATTGTTTGTTCATGGATAACTGAGGCATTATTATATACCAAAATTGTGATGAAACCAAACATTACTGGTAACTAACCAAATAAATAATTAGCACAAGGCTTACAAACTTCAAAGCTACTAGCACCAATACAGTAACAGAAAACTGAGTGAATTAGTTCAGAAGGTCATGAAAGTGCATTTTCTGTCTCCAAGTGTGGAGTTGCTAGTCCATTCCACAATGTTTGCTGAGTAAACATGGATTCAACCTTTTTTCATTAAAATATTCTAAGGACCTACTGTGTTGACAGGACCACTGTAACTGATGACTATTAAGACTATACATCTTTTCAAGGTAAATTCAATCTGTACATAAAAAAGATCAACTGAATCTTTATGTAAAGTCAGCAGACTGTAAGTGTTAGAAACTAGCTATAAAATTTTAAAATGCCATGTGGGCCAAAGGATATTTGTAAACTAATTTTTTTCCATAAATACCTCATTTAAAACTATGATAGTTTTTTCATTATCATAGAAATGAACACACACCCTACCAAATGGGAGAAAATATTTGCACATCATACATCTGACAAAGACCTCACACAACTCAACAAGAAAACAAAATTTAGGCAAAAGAGCTAGCTAAACAGGCACTTCTCCAAAGACAACATGTAGATGGCCAACAGCCAAATGATAAAAAATGCTCTTCATCTTTTATCATTAGGGAAATACAAATCAAATCCACACTGAGATTCCATCTCACATTGTGAGAATAACCTGTGTCAAAAAAACCAGAAATACGTGTTGATGGATGTGGATTAAAAAAAGAACGCTTATGCACTGTTGGGGGAATGTAGATTGGTCCAGTGCCTATAGAAAAAAGTGTGTAGTCTCTCAAAACATTAAAAATAGATCTGCCATATGATCCAGTAACTCTACTCTTAGGTATCTACCTTAAGAATGCAAAAACACTCTTTTGAAGGGATATATGCACTTCAACGTTCACTGCAGCCCTATTTACAATAGCCAAGTTATGGAAACAACCTAAATGCCCAATGACAGAGGAGTGGATTAAAAAGATGTGGCATATATACACAATGGAATACTAAGGTATATTAAAAAAAATGAAATCTTGCCATTAAAAATGAAAAGGATTATGTTAAGTGAAATAAGTCAGAAGGAGAAAGACAAATAGCAGATGATTTGACACATGAAGAATACAGAAAAACGAAACAAATCAACAGACAAAACTAAACCACCTTAGAAATTTAACTGTAAAATTGAGGTTACTGGAGAGGGTAGGGAGTCTAAGGCAGGAGGAGGCACAATTGACTATGGTGGGGGATTATGGGTGCTTTAATGGCAGCCAGGGGATAGCCACGATATGTTTTCTAAAGAGATGTGAACCTATACTTCTAAATCATATACACATTATTATAAATCAACACTGCCTCAAAAAAAAAAAAAAAAAAAAAAAAAAAACCCCAAACAAACAAACAAAACCCACAATGAAGAAACAAAATTAAGGAGAACTTAGTAAGATCTTTATATATACACACATACGTACATACATACATATATAAACCTAGGAAAGTTTCTTAAGGATCAAATTATCAAAAAAAAACCCAGGAGCTGATTATAAAGTCTAACACACATAATATAGCTACTATGCTTCAAATGAAGTAAACTATAAACCACTGTAAGTTTTATACATACCTGCTGTTACATCCATATTATTTACTCCTGGCTGTAAAAAGAAAAAATTGTATTAGCAATAATCACCTTATTTAAGCTTTATCTTAAATTTAAGTTCCTAAAAAAGCACAATCAAGTGCCCTCTATTATAATTCTCAAGTCAATGATTCAAAGATTCTTACTAAATTTTAGTGGTCTCAGCTCCTTGAGCTTGCTATACATTACAAAAAATATCAGTATCCCAAGCTACTTTTTATATATACATACACGTGTATATATAGTCATCAGTTGTACATACATCCATAACCTTTTACATACAATTCTGAAATCCAAAAAGCTCTGAAAACCAAACTTTGCACCAAAACTCATTACTCTGAAAAAAACCTGCCCTGACTTCGACGCAAGCACTTTCTTTATATGCTTGAAAGTGAACATTTATAAAGTTTTGTTATAGAAATATTATAGGGCAGGGCCTCCCCTGGTGGCGCGCGGTTGAGCGCTGGGCTGCGAAGCTGCCCGCAGTCTCTGCAGCACCGGTTCGATCCCCAGCCACCGGCGAGGGTCCCACATGACTCGACAGACCTCTCCTGTCTCGCCCGCTGCTCCCCTCAGCAGTGTATTTTGTCAGTCTGCCTGTTCTGTTCCCCTCTCTGGCTCTGGTGAATTCTCTCACCCTCCCGCACTTCTGACTGTAACCGGTGCTTGTATAAATAAATAAATAAATCTTAAAAAAGAAAATATTATAGGGCACTACCTAAAAATCCATGAGAGATTTTTATATAATAAATGGTATGGTGCAAGTTATTACTTTCCAATATTAAAACAATTTTCAGGGGGCATCCCTGGTGGTACAGGGGTTAAAGTCTAGAGCTATTAGCTATCACCAGTCAGTGAGACATGAGTTCAATCTCTGGTCAGGGAGCTAACTCATATGGTACAGTAGACCTCTCCTGTCTCACCCACTGCCCCCCTCAGCAGTGTATTTCAGTAGATTCACCTGTTTTGTTCCCCATTATGTCTCTGGTGAATCCTCTCACCACCACCCCCACACCGCACCTCTGGCTTACAACCCAGTTCTTGTAAGCACAAATAAATAAAAAGTAAATCTTAAAAAAAACACCAATTTTCTAATAAATCTATCCCTAACACCCCAATGGAGTATGTCACATTACTAGGATTTCAGATAATAAACAAGCTAAATTAGAATATCATGCTTCACATATTTCTACACAACCCAGTTAAAAGATGATAAGGCTGCTCATGGAATTTCTAAATAAACTGCCACAGCTTACATCTCATGAAATGTGAAAATGAAATGAAATCTTTGACATTCTAAATCTATCTCTTCACACCTGAATCTCTATTTAAAGATGCAGTGTTTCTTCAATTAAAAAAATGTAGCTTCCAGTATTAAATAATATTTTATCAATTTTTAATTAGCACCATGTCTTCTCTTTATGATCAGAATGCTACCAGACCAACCAAATGCTTCTGGATGATGAAATATTTTCTCCAGTACTCTAATTTTGTTTAATGTAGAATAAACAAGGATGTATACTATATAATGGTATATAATAAGTGTGGGAAAAATGTTAAAAAACTAAATATAAAAAGTCGACTGCAATTCCTATGTTATGGTACTCCACAGACATTTAAAAGCTAAACAATTGCCTATAGAATACACGTTATTTCACATATGAAAGTAATCAAAACATCACAGAAACAGTCTTAGAAAATTACCGGTAAAGCAGGCTGCATGGAAGCCTGAGACATATGAGACATCATCATTCCAGGCATCACAGAAGACATCATTCCAGGCATCTAGAACAAAAGTGAAAAAAAAAGGTTACCATGTAAGACCAAAGCAGTTAACATGAATTCAAGAATCTATCTGGTTATTAAAGGTAACAAGTAAAACTTAATATTAAAACCCACTTAACACTACAGTATATGCATAGTATGCTTAGTAAGTGCTTGTTGAATGAATGAAGAATTTTTATTAATTACCTATCTTAACACAGATGTTAGAATTTATATGTACAATCAAAATTAATAAATGTATTTAAAAGTTTATCATGTTACTTCTAACCTAAATTTATTATTAATTTCTTTAATTTTAATTCAACACTTGTACTTTTCTTCTTTCCTGGAGGAAGACAGTTTTTTCCCCACTATTAGTTACTTCTGATTTTTAATAACTGTATTAGATAAATTTTATAGCAATCTGGTCTTTTAAAAAACTAAGTAAAATATTAAAATTCTAGATCAAAGGTGCTAAAAATTCAAAGTGACTTTACAAAAATACATAAACAAACCTTTTAAGTACAAATCATCAATACTCTCTTCTGGTAAAGAAGTATTTAATGAAACACATTCATGAATATCTGGAAAAAATATTAATTTGGAAGCTTAATCTAGTTTTATCAATGACTGCCATCAAAATCTATGAATACTGGTTACAAAGAATGAATAAAAATCATGAAGTTAGCCTCCACTACCACAGGATTTTGACCCGATGCTGCTCTATGTAGTATGGTCAAACAAAATAATTTTGATTTTAATATGAACAAATCTGAAGAAAACATGGAGGTGAACAAATTATATACAACAATCATAGGTACCGAAACAATATATCCACTTATTCAACAATTTCAAATTAAATGAACAATCTGAGAAATAAGAACAATAAGAAAGAAATAAGCATACTGGTCAATAAAACATTTAAAGACTACTAAAAGTAGTTAAGAATACTCATACACTGAAATTTAATACTTGTGAAAATTAACTCATGAGGTTAAAATACTATTAAAATAAAGTAGCATGGTACTAATGAATTTAACAAAAGAAGTCTTTGGTCTCAAGCACTCGATATTATTTAAACATCATTCAACAAGACCTTGACAGAAATCATGCAACTAAAACTTAGAATACAAGGTCAAATTTTTTTCAGAGGTTCTGATTTGAAAACAGAAGCACTCACTGGTCTCTAAGAACACCCAGACTAAGAGAATTAAAGAAAATAATCAATATACAAAGGGGGTGGAGGGGGAATAGAGCAATCAAATGAGAAGTAGGCTTGTTCCCTCTCCTCCCCATTCCCAACAGATACATCCTCATAATTACTTTTGGTTTGGGCTAATAGCAAAGTAGGTTTGAAATCTTCTTAAGCACTAAGCTATTGATTATAGGGGGACATATGGTAAGTAATAAAGAGAAATAACCAGCTCTTTAAAATAGCCTAAATAGAAAACATATGCAAAAAATAGAACTCTAAGAAAACTTACGAAACTGAAGTTTGAAAAATTAAAAGAAAAATGAATCAAACCATTTTTTCACAAAAATTAAGGGCATTTAGGAGTAAAATTCTCCATCTTCCTTGGTACAAAACAGTAAATTCCCAGGGGCAGCAACTAGCTAAACTTGGTCAACCTAGCAAATATCAACAGATTTTTAAATTATGTACAACTATATATTATGAAAGTAAATATTATAGATTATGAATATAGGTTTAACACCAAACTGATATTAAGCTGAAATAAAAGAACAAAACCAAAAATATGCAATGTATTGTTTCCCATGAAAAGTTATTATAAGAATTTGACAAATTAAGAACTCTTAAGCCCATTTCCCAATGTATGAAGAATCTACTTTGTGGTGAGCAACATGGCGGCGAGGAGACGCTGCGAGTAAGATCTCCCATTAAAAAAAGTGAATAGGGAGGAAAAGCGGCAGGTCCCAGTGAGAAGTGGGACACGGAAGATAAACGGGTGACGCCAGCAAACTACCCAAAGAAGAAACTGGCCATAAAAGAGGACCAGAAGGGAGGGAAGCGCAGAACCCTGCTCCCCTCCCCCGCCCACAGAGGCGGCACTCTCCGACCAGCAGAGAGGAGGAAACAACAAACCAAAACGGCCAACAAGAAAAACGGACGCAGCAAGCGGGACTGTGAGCGGAAAGGAACTATTGCAGCCACCACACCCCGTGAACGGGAGCTGAGGCGAACCCTGCAGGATCCACCGCGGCGGTGAGCTAACGGCTCCGGGCGCCATTAGAGAAGAACAAAGACCCCGGGAGACGCGCACACAGCCCGGGCTGCCAGTAAGCTGGCGCGGAAACGCGGAGTGCTCGGCGCGCTTGAGAAGCAAGTGCAGACCTGGATCGCGGCTGCCCAGGTCCCCGCGCCTGCGACCTAGGCTTGCGGGGAGACGACCTAGGCTTGCGGGGAGACGCGCGGAGGTCCTCACTGAGGTGAAGGTCCCTCCCTGAGTGAGCAGGAACCAGGCGCCCAGGCACGGGAGCGGTGCAAAAGGCGCCATTCCCGCGCCACTGAACTGGGCTACAGCCCCGTCCTGGAACTGAGGGCTTTGAACTGAGACCCGGGGCACGAAAATTCGGGGCGTGGTTTCTCCACGACGGTGGGGCACAAGGCAGACACAGCACCCCAAAGCTGTTGAGGTGTACCCTACCATTCCCGCTCTGTTCTCTGTCCCACGGGGTGGGGGGAGGCGAAAAACAGCCCCCCAAGGACAATAGGAGAGATCTCTGGCGCCACCTAGCGACCAGGAAAAAAAAAAGTCACTAACACCCTATAAAACAGGGCATTTCTTAAGACTGCTTGAAAAGGGCAGAAGGTTTCTGGAGGACCCAGTGGCCAGCCGGGAAGTTATTCCATGCCAGGCCCCTTCCGACCAGCAGTCTGAGCCCACAGAGGGAGCAGGCACCCACGTCCGGGGCAGACCGGGTGCGCAGAAGAGTGTGCCTGAAACCAGAGGCGCAGGGACTGCATCCCGCTTCGCCATTTGAGAACAGGGACATTTCTTCAGTAAAAACTGCCTAAAACCAGCAGAAAGCTCCCCCAGAAGACAGAGATGGCTCCTGGAAGAGCCAGAGGGGAGCGGAGAAGTTCACCCAAGATGTCAGTCAGTCCGAGCAACACAGTGTCCCAACGCATACGACAAATTAGAAAACAGACAGTAGGGAGTAGAAGAACCACACGCAACCTAAAAACTCCTCAGGAAAGAAGCACACCACAAAAAGAAAACCACTCCCCAGATTGCAACGACAGCAACTTGGAAGAACTTCTGAGCCTTCCAGAAAGAGAATTTAAAATTGCCATGATTAAAAAAGTGATAGATCAGAAGAAGGAAATTGAGTCCCTAAAGAGGGAAGTAAGAGAAATGCAGGAGATCAAAGAATTAATGGAGGAACTAAAGAACTCTGGGAAAAGCAATGAAAGCAGAATAGATGAAATGGAAGAACGAATAAGTAATCTTGAAGACACAGAAATAAAAAGAACCAAACAGAAAAGGAAAGAGAAGTACGAAGGAAAAAGAATGAAGAAAGACTTCGGGAACTATCTGACTCCATGAGGAAAGGAAATATAAGAGTTATAGGAATTCCAGAAGGAGAGGAGAGAGATGTAGGAACAGAGAAAATATTCATGGATATAATTGAAGAGAACTTCCCAAATGAGAAGAAGGAGCTGAAAATTGATATACAAGAAGCAAGAAGAACACCAAACTTCCACGACGAAAGGAAAAACACAGCAAGACACATAATAGTAAAGCTCCCAAGAATCCAGGACAAGGAAAAAATAATGAAGCTGACAAGAGGGAAGAATCAGATAACATTCAAAGGAAACCAATCAGGCTGACATCAGACTTCTCTGAAGAAACACTACGGGCAAGGAGAGAGTGGAGGGACATAGTCAACAGACTCCAAGAAAACAGATGCCAACCAAGAATACTCTATCCCGCAAAGCTCTCTTTCCTCCATGAAGAAAGAATATGGACCTTCCCAGACAAAGAGAAACTCCGGAATTTCATTGCGACTAAACCCCACTCCAAAAAATACTACAAGGAATCCTAAAGCCAGAACCTCAGAGGGACGAATAACAACGAAAGAAGACCAAAAAAAAAAAAAAAAAAAAAGTTAAAAGAAGATAATAAATAAAATCAAAGGAAAGACAAACATAATGGCAATACAGATGCTAACATATCAATATTAACTCTAAATGTAAATGGACTAAACTCTTCAATAAAAAGACACAGAGTTGCAGCCTGGATTAAGAAACAAAACCCAACCTTTTGCTGTCTCCAGGAAACACATTTAGCTACAAAAGATAAAAATAGGCTCAAAGTCAAAGGATGGAAAACAATCCTACAAGCAAATGGGCCAAAAAGAAGCAGGAACAGCTATACTTATATCAGATAAAACAGACTTCAAACTCAAAAAAATAAAAAGAGACCCCAATGGTCACTACATTATGATTAAGGGGACAATACTTCAAGAAGAAATAACACTCATTAACATATACTCACCAAACGAAAGAGCACCAAAATATATCAGACAACTGTTGTCCTCTCTGAAAACAGACATCAGAGAAAACACATATGTAGTGGGAGACTTCAACACACCACTATCAACAATGGATAGATCAACAAGACAAAAAATAAGTAAAGAAACTAAAGCTCTAAATAAGGACCTAGAGCATTTGGGCTTAACAGACATCTATAGAACACTAAACCCAAAAAAAACGGAGTACACATTTTTCTCAAGCGCACACGGATCATTCTCCAGGATCGATCACATACTGGGGCACAAGACAAACATCAACAGATACACCAAGATTGAAATCATACCAACCATCTTTTCTGACCACGAAGGCATCAAACTAGAAATAAATCATAAAAAGAAGGCAAGGAACTATCCTACCTCATGGAGATTAAAAGCCACACTACTGGAAGACCACTGGACTAACGAGGAGATCAAAGAAGAAATTAAAAATTCTTTGAATTGAATGACAAGGAGGAACACAATATCCTAAATGTATGGGATGCAGCAAAAGCAGTAATAAGAGGAAAATATATAGCAATAGAAGCTCACATCAAAAAACAAGAAAGAA